GTCCTTGACCTCATTTTCATGGTTCAGTGACTACTTGAAAAAAAGTTAAGATTTTTTGTAATGTTGAATTCTCTCTTATTATAAGTAATAGGATAACTATATTTGGTATGTGCATACCTTGCAAGGTCCTCATGCCCGTCAGACAGTTTTATCTTGACCTCGACCTCATTTCATGGATCAGTGAACAAGGTTAAGTTTTGGTGGTCAAGTCCATATCTCAGTTACTATAAGCAATAGGTCTAGTATATTCAGTGTATGGAAGGACTGTAAGGTGTACATGTCCATCTGGCAGGTGTCATCTGATCTTGACCTCATTTTCATGGTTCAGTGGTTATAGTTAAGTTTTTGTGTTTTGGTCTCTTTTTCTTATACTGTATGCAATAGGTCTACTATATTTGGTGTATGGAATGATTGTAAGGTGTACATGTCTAGCTGGCAGGTGTCATCTGACCTTGACCTCATTTTCATGGTTCAGTGGTCAAAGTTAAGTTTTTGAGTTTTGTCTTTTTTTCTAATACTATATGCAATAGTTCAACTTTGGTGTATGGAAATATTTTATGATCTATATGTCAGTCACGCAGGTTTTTTTTTACCTTGACCTCATTTTTTCAAGGTTCATTGCTCAGTTTTAAGTTTTTGTGTTTTGGTCTGTTTTTCTTAAACTATAAGCAATAGGTCAACTATATTTGTTGTATGGAAGAATTGTTAGCTGTACATGCCTGTCTAGCATGGTTCATCTGACCTTGACCTTGACCTCATTTTCTTGGTTCATTGGTCAATGTTTAGTTTACTTGGTTAATGTTAAGTTTATGTGACAGTTGTAATAAAGCTTTATATTTAGGACTATCAACATAATATCAATGATTAGTATAGAAGGCGAGACATTTCAGCGTGTGCACTCTTGTTTCATTCATAAATTACTTTATACTTGGAAATATAATTTTGCTTGGAGTTATAGTTTCTAAAAAAAGTATTGTCATTGAAAGAGTTGACATGTTGCAATGTACATTTATTCTACATAGTTCTATGGTACCAAATCAAAAGTTTATATTAAAGAAAGAAGTCAAAGGTTTCCCATCATAGTTTAGTTACATACATTTTTTTTGTACCTGAGGTCGTTGAATATAGATCATTATATAAATAAGGAGATGTGTTATGATTGCCAATGAAACAACTATCATCCATACATTGTACTTACCAGTAACAAACCACATTTGCAAAGTTGAATAAAATACAGTTGATAACATTTACTTATTACTTAAAAGAAAATGCCAAACTATTTTAAACAGTATTTGACTATAAACATAGATAAAAAAGGTACAAACTGGACATAATGCACTAGTTCATAAACAAGTGAGAACAATCACCTTCATATAGTGCTCAGAATATGACATTCATAAAACTTGTTCAATATCATTAGAGAACTCTAAATCTTAAATACTGAAAGCCACCTCTGATAAGTACAATGTACTATGCAAGATAATGATATAACTGGACTAAAAATACACACAACCTGTAATTAACTGCCTTTACAGCGCTTTCGCGCTTTGATTCTTCCAGTTAACATTAAATACAGTCTGCAGTTAAAGTTTTTAAAACATTTATTAGATTCATAAAGTATCCTGGATTTATACCAAACTTTGACAGAAGCTTCTTACAATCAAAAGATAGTATCTAAAGGAATATTTTTATTGATTTTTTTCCTCATTTTTGTTGAACCTGCCATTAACAGCAAAAGTAGGCGAGACACTTACGAATTTTTTTATCTTGATTGTTGTTTATAGATCATACAGTCCCTAGCATCAAACCAAAATACTTTGATATTTATTAATAACCAAAACTTCTGTAGTTTTGATTTAATATGGTGGCTCTACGTATTACAGGTTAGACTGGTTATCAATATATATGGTAATGCACAAAGTTTAACTTTCTATATATATATATGTGTGTGTCGTCCTGAACATGCATGCAATACTTGCCACTGGACATTCAGCAACCAACAATCAAGTTAGCACATCAAGTGATCAAGTCAGGAGCCTGTAATTCAGTGGTTGTCGTTTGTTGCTGTGTAACATATTTGTTTTTCGTTCATTATTTTGTACATAAATTAGGCCGTTAGTTTTCTCTTTTGATTTGTTTTACATTTGTCGTTTTGGGACCTTTTTTAGCTGACTATGCGGTATGGGCTTTTTGTTAATATGTCCTTTGATTGAGTTAAGCTATTTCAGTTGATATTTAAGTCTCATAAACGAAGTTTGGGAAGACTTATTGTTTTTGCTCAGTTCTTATTATTCTTCTTCTTCTTCTTCTTCCGCCTCTTTTAAATTTGAACTTCTTCTTCTTCTTCTTCTTCTTCTTCTTCTTCTTCCGCCGCTTTTAAATTTGAACTTGTCCACACCTGTTCTCCAAAACCGCTTGTCAGATTAACTTAGGGTTTCACAATATCTTAGATTAACATGTCTAGTGGTGCAATCAGGGTTTTGTTTGTGCAATGGGGTTTATAAAGGGGTACTTTGAGGGGCAAAAAGAAAAGAGGGTTTTACTATAGAACCCTATGGGATTTTATTTTAAAAAATTTTCAAATGAGTATAAATTGAAAACCGTTTGTGATAGACACAATCTTTTTAATTGAAAATGTTCTAAATGATAAAGCCCATTTAATGAAATACAGGGTTAGTCCCCAGGGGTCACCCCCACCCCCTGCCAATTAAAAAAGTTATAATACCTTGTAAGTGGTCAAGATCCCCACCCCTAAACCATATATATTTTGGTTTGTCATGCTAAGATGGTTTGAATGATATACAGGGATAGTCCCCAGGGGTCATCCCGACCCCCTGCCATTTGAGAAAGTTCTAATATCTTGTAAATGGTCGAGATCCCCACCCCTAAACCATATATATTCTGGTTTGTCATGATAAAGCACATTAAATGTGATACAGGGTTAGTCCCTAGGGGTCACCCCCACCCCATGCCATTTAAGAAAGTTCTAATATCTTGTAAGTGGTCAAGATCCCCACCCCTAAACCATATAAATTCTGGTTTGTCATGCTAAGATGGTTTGATTGATATACCGTGTTAGTCCCCAGGGGTCATCCCGACCCCCTGCCATTTGAGAAAGTTCTAATATCTTGTAAATGGTCGAGATCCCCACCCCTTAACCATATATATTCTGGTTTGTCATGATAAAACACATAAAATGTAATACAGGGTTAGTCCCAAGGGGTCACCCCCACCCCATGTCATTTAAGAAAGTTCTAATATCTTGTAAGTGGTCAAGATCCCCACCCCTAAACCATATATATTCTGGTTTGTCATGCAAAGATGGTTTGAATGATATACAGGGTTAGTCCCCAGGGGTCATCCCGACCCCCTGCCATTTGAGAAAGTTCTAATATCTTGTAAATGGTCGAGATCCCCACCCCTAAACCATATATATTCTGGTTTGTCATGATAAAGCACATCAAATGAAATACAGGGTTAGTCCCCAGGGGTCACCCCCACCCCATGTCATTTAAGAAAGTTCTAATATCTTGTAAGTGGTCAAGATCCCCACCCCTAAACCATATAAATTCTGATTTGTCATGCTAAGATGGTTTGAATGATATACAGGGTTAGTCCCCAGGGGTCATACCGACCCCCTGCCATTTGAGAAAGTTCTAATATCTTGTAAATGGTCGAGATCCCCACCCCTTAACCATATATATTCTGGTTTGTCATGATAAAACACATAAAATGTAATACAGGGTTAGTCCCAAGGGGTCACCCCCACCCCATGTCATTTAAGAAAGTTCTAATATCTTGTAAGTGGTCAAGATCCCCACCCCTAAACCATATATATTCTGGTTTGTCATGCAAAGATGGTTTGAATGATATACAGGGTTAGTCCCCAGGGGTCATCCCGACCCCCTGCCATTTGAGAAAGTTCTAATATCTTGTAAATGGTCGAGATCCCCACCCCTAAACCATATATATTCTGGTTTGTCATGATAAAGCACATCAAATGAAATACAGGGTTAGTCCCCAGGGGTCACCCCCACCCCATGTCATTTAAGAAAGTTCTAATATCTTGTAAATGGTTGAGATCCCCACCCCTAAACCATATATATTCTGGTTTGTCATGCCAAGATGATTTGAATGATATACAGGGTTAGTCTCCAGGCATCACTAATGCATATAGCTTTACTGGACCAAACCAATTTTCACTGGACTTTCCCCAATGTCAGGCGACCCTGGGAATTACGAATTATGGGAGCTTCGTTTGGGAGACTTCGTAACAGCATCCTGTTACAATCATTTCTTGTTTATAGTGTGTCTTTCTATGTTGTGATGTTACACTATTGTTTCAGAAAAAGGGTGAAGGTTTGGTACCATTAAAACGTTTAAACCCGCTGCATTTGTTTGCACCTGTCCTAAGTCAGGAATCTGATGTTCAGTAGTTGTCGTTTGTTGATGTGGTTCATAAGTGTTTCTCGTTTCTTGTTTTTTATATAGATTAGACCATTGGTTTTCCCGTTTGAATGGTTTTACACTAGTAATTTTTGGGGCCCTTTATAGCTTACTGTTCGGTGTGAGCCAAGGCTCCGTGTTGAAGACCGTACTGTGACCTATAATGGTTTACTTTTATAAATTTTGACTTGGATGGAGAGTTGTCTCATTGGCGCTCATACCACATCTTCTTATATCTATTATCTCATTGTTGAAGGCTGTACAGTGACCTATAGTTGTTAATTTCTGTGTCATTTGGTCTCTTGTGGAGAGTTGTCTCATTGGCAATCATACCACATCTTCTTATTCTTATATATACTTGTATATGTGTATTTTATTTTTACCTAATTTTGACAACTTACAATAATGTGATCAATGAGAAGCTATTCTTGTTTGAAGAATATTCATGATATCTCAATTAAATATTGTATGTTAATACTTGCAAATATAGAGAGCTATATGCTCTGAGACCATGAGTGACTGTGAAGCTTTTTTACATGAAAAACTATTTTCAGGACCTTTAAAGGGGGCAGCAAACGTCTTGATGATTTTAATAACAATGAATGATGTGTATTGCCATTGGATGCTGAACAGTCCATTAGATAAAATGAGTTTATCTATAGTCTTCTTCTTCCTTTTGATGTGTAGACTTATCATATTCCTACAATTCAAGGCAAAAGAAATGGAAGAAACAAAAGGAAGGAAACATGAAGTATCATCAGAGAAAAAGGAGGAATAAACAGTAACCATCTCAAAATAAGTTTATCTCACCAAATATGTCAGAATAATTTATAGATGTATTATTTCATAAATATGTTAAAATCATTTATCTTAAAATCATAAATGTTGTGGTTTGAAATATTTCGTGTTTATCAGTCTACAATCAGAGACATTAAATGCATGAAGTTTTAAATTTTCTAAACTTAATACATTATTATATAGCCCCTGACCATCCTGACATATGTTTTCAACTAAATTTTGGCAAATTAATATTTTGTTCAGATTATGATATCTATAAAGAGTCTCTTTTCTTTGGTAAAAATATCAATTAACTGGACAAAAATCTTCCAATCTGTTGTCAAGAAAGGAACATTTCATTCATTTTTGAAAATATAAGATACAATGTAGTGCTGTTATTTTGTAGTTATTGTCCTAAGTAATTTTTACTTCTGATGGATTTTAAAATTTTAAAATTCTGTATATTCCAGTAAAGAGCCAGGATAATTGATTCAGAAGTTTTGTTGTTTACATCCTTTTCTTCTGGTCTTTCGGTTGATAGTGCTCTCATTTTCAATCATACCACGTCTATTTCAGGGGCGGATCCAGCCATTTCTAAAAGGGTGGGTTCCTAACCCAGGATAAAGGGGGGTTCCAACTATATGTCCCCATTCAAATGCATTGATTGTCAAAAAAAAAAAGATGTCGCTTTTGACTGTCAGTCAAAGCGAAGTGACAGACGTGAAAGCGACTTTTTCGCCCCCCGTCCCCTGCTAGTGTGAGCCCTGCAGAATAAAGTTGAAGGTATGATCAGTAGGATTTTTTACTTTTCATTTTTGTTTTACTTTAAAGATGTTGACTTGCTTTTTCCCAACAAAAATACCTGTATTATATGATCCATTACATACATTTCTATGAGTTGCTCTCCATTCTAGTTTAAAATAGATTCATTTATGAGATTAAGGTGGTATGGGAGTATAAAAAAATAATGATAAAAATTTTTCATACCTGTCAATATGTAGTATAAATTGTGATATGTTCAAAAATATGATAAAGGTGATAGGTCACCGAGCTTGTTTTCAAGCTACAGGTGGTGAAAATATGACACATTTTGTATGAATTATACAGAGAAAAATGTGAATAGAGAAAAACTAAATGATAAAAATTTTGAAGTAAAATATGACAAGATAGGTCTTATAAAATGCTAAAGGAAAGAATAGGGTTACCATACCTTTTTTCCTGCTATAACATAAAATAGAAAAAAATCCTGTAGATCCCATTATAAATTGTACTATTTCTGAGTTACTTTCCCTGAATACGCAAAGTTATAAAAATTAAAAAATCAAGCAAAAATATTCTACTTTTGTAAAAATATGATTTATTATAACTAACTATAACATAAATATGTTCATCCAAATGAAAATTCTTATTATTCAATTGCATGCCTGCATCAAAATTTGTTGGCTGAATAAAAAAATTGCATTTTGCTATTTTACAACCCAAGATAGTGGAAGACACTTATACAACCTTAATAAGCTTGTTTTCCTGAGGAAATGGATGAAATATCTGTCCACAAATGTTTTCAGGTATACAAAATATTGACAGATCAGGTTTATATAGATATGTAGATTTTTACATTGAATTTATTGTCCCATAACTGTAATGAAGTAAAAATGGAATATGCAAAATGTATGACTGTGTTTGTTTATAGAAATTAAAAGGGTCTTATACATAAGAGTATATATAATTGCTGAGTATGTTTAAATTTATGTTACGCATGATATTAAGAGGCAACAATCTCATTATACAAATACTTGTTATTGGCTCACGTTGTTCAAATGAGAAATAAGTTACAAAAGGTTTAATGATATATATACAGTTATGGTTGTGACAGTGAAACGCTACAGATATCTTATACTTGTGATTGTGATATTTAACATTCAATTTTTAATATTTATACATTTTCATTTTTTGTTATAATATGATATTAGGTACAGCTACTTTTTCACAAATACTCTTTAAGTATACAAAAATGATTCAGTGCTATAAAATAATTATACTATTGATTGATTGATTGTTGTTGTTTAATGCCACTCTCAGCACTATTGTGCTATTTCGTGGCGGTCAGTTTTTATTGGTGGAGGAAGATGGAGTGCCCAGATAGAACCATGACCTTCCATAGGAAAACTAACAATCCTAGTCAATTAAGATTGGAGTCGAGCTCACCTACCACATGCTGGATTCAAAACTTCAGTGTTGGCAGGCTAGTGATACAGTAGTTCAACTACCGAGGCCCCTAATATTTATACTATGTAAGTACTGTAATTGTACAGTGCAATTTTGTTTTACAAAACTTAAGTTTCATTTTTTTTCATTTATTTTATAGTGATGTATGTTAACAGGAATTATTTTCACTTGCCTAGTTCTTTCATATTATTGCACTTTTCAAGTAAGATTTCCAATCTGGTTATGCACTGAGTACTCAAAAGGCTACTAAAAAAATACTAAGTATTAAGTACAATGTATTAGAATAAAAGTATATATTAAATGCATGTTATATCATAAGACATATTATAAAAAGTCAAAACAATAAGAATTGGCATAAATGCAAGCATCTTGATGATGTCTTTTTCTTAATCTATTGTAAATATTTAAGTCATAAAAAATGATACATTAACAGTAATTGTGCACTTCTTGTTATCTTTTTATTTTTTTTTATAGAAACTGATGTTTTTGGTTTACCTTTGCTAAATATGTACATTGCCATTTCTACATTTAAGAACACAGACTTTTCTGCATTTTTTTGTGGAATGAAACAAAACCTGACAGAATTGTGTCATTGTTTTTTGTGGATTTGACAATTATAAGGAGAATTAAGACTAGAGGTAATATAATAAACAATTTATGTGTGATAAAAACAAAGTTACTGAAAAATACTATTGTATTGCATGCAATTAATAAGAGATCCTTGCAAAATACTCTTGTCAGATTTTTATGCTTTTACATTTTTACATTTTTTCTGTATTAAGACCATGGTCTTACAGACTTTCAACATAAAATTCAATCATGGTCAGCTGCACTGGCAAACCATTTTTTTTGTTTACATTTATAATATAAAAACACAATTATTTATTGAAGAATGTACATCACAAATGTTCATAGATATGGCTATGTGTTTATATGTAATCATTTATATATGTGTGAGAAAATGTAGGCAAAGTTTACGTTTGAAAAAGTTCTGAGTTTAGTGCAAATTTTTGTGTTATTTATTTGTTTGAAAAATAAATGTGTGTTTAACACATCTTTTTGTACCATTTTTTCGTGTCTTTAATTAATCCTTACTTTACTAAAGATGGCAACACAATGGTAAATTGTTGCAGGAAGATATGAGATTTATGATTTTCCTTTGTTCTGTTAATTTAAAAATAAGGAGAGGTTGTAGGATATTGCCATTTAGACAACTATCCACCAGAGTTGAAATGAAGTAGATGTTAGCAACTATACTAAACGGCCTTCAATATGAGCAAAACCAATACCGCATACCAAACTATGACAGATCCTTACATGACAAAATGTATACCAATGAGAAAACTATCTACCAAAGTCCAAGTGAGTCTTCAACAATGAGCATAACCCATAATATATACTCAGCTTTAAAAGGCCCAGGCATGACAAAATGTGAAACAATCCAAACGAGAAACCAACAGCCTGATTTATGACAAAACAACAAAGAAAATCAAATATGACAGAGAGCAACCAACAACAACTACTGAATTAGAGGCTCCTGACTTTGGATAGCACATAAAGAATGTGGCTAGGTTAAACATGTTTGTGAGCACTCAGCCCTCTCTCTTAGATTAACTGTTCAGGATTTTAGTCTCTGTAGTAGTAGCAGGTTGCTGGCTTATTACCTTCACAATTTCATACAAGTGGTAGTTTATAAGACAAGTAAGGTATATCTACCTTTCTGCTCAACCATGATTTAATAGAGTTCATTAGATTTTTTAAACCCATAGCCAAATGTTTTGTAGATGATGTTCCGGAATAACATATGATATATGAAATTCCATGTTACATTTTTTTTCAGTGGTATTAAATGAGTAGCTTATATTTTATTGGAAATTACAAAAATGTCCTTTGATTCTTGGTATTAATTCAGAATATTCTGGCCTGGTAGGAATTGAAATAAAGAGCTTTGCCCAAAACAGAATGAAAATCAATATTTTCACAAACAAAATACAGGATATAAGGTGAAGTTGAAGTCATCCCTTCAAAAAATTTACAAACACCATTATGAGTTGGTTGACCTTTATGGAAAATCTGTTCTCACAGATGAGGACAGATATGTTGGAATTAGGGTAACCACAATCCTGTCCACATTTTCCTCAAATGTGACATAACAGAATTAGACTTATCATCAAATTTGTACTTATATGATCTTACATGAGCAAACACGACGTGTGCTGCATGTGGAACAGGATCTGCTTACCCTACAGGAGAACCTGAGATCACCCCTGGTTTTGGATGGAGTTTTTGTGCTCAGTCTTTAGTTTTCTATGTTATATTTTTTAGACTATTGTTTGTCTTTTGGTTGTCTTGTTTTTTCGCCATTGTGATGTCAGTTTGTCTTCGACTTATGAGTTTGGCTATCCCTTTGGTATCTTCTGCCTCACTTATATAAATAATTAAAGATCAAATAAATTTTTCACACGTCCAAGCTGCCCCTAAAAAAAATAAACGAGACTTACAAAAGGAGAAAATGAATATTCCATCAGAAAAAAATTCTCCTGGCAACCCCTTGCAGAATATCAAATGGTATCCCTTTAATCAACAGAAAAATGCATGCAAGAAATGAATCAATGCACAGTGTGAGTCATTAAAGAAGTATTTGCTGCAGGGTATTATGTCTATTGAACCTTTAATCATAATTTTGCTGCATCCAGCATGTCCAGACAAAAATATGAAAAACAGAAAATGAGAAGAAATTTTGAGTCTTTATATTTATTTCGTTGTATTATGGTGTAATATTTCTGTTTTTCTTAGGGGTTGGTAGTCTTTTTGGGTGTTCTGCAGTGTGTGGTGTTGAAAAGACAGACCAATATTTTATACCCTTCATCTGTCTGTAACAAGTTTTGTAATATTTCCTCCTATGATAATAATATTCTAGAATTTTTTTTATATTTTTTTCCATTTAGAACCTATTAGTACTTTAACTTTGGGCAGTCTTTGAACGTTATTTAAATTTTTTGTCCCTGATTCATTTTATTGTATCTCTTTATTGAAGTAGGATTTTTAAGTCTACTGGTGCAGTGTACTGCGACTTATGAAAAGTACCTATAAAGATGTGCTTGTTGGCTTAGAATGAACAATAGAAAGTAAGAACCTATATGCTGAGTAACTGATAGTAACAATAACATTGATATCTTGGTGGCACGTGAGATGCTTTTAGATTATAATGAATGCCACAGTGCATAGACTTTTACAGTGTTGTACATAGATTAGTGCTTTATTGATGTAATAACATTTGTGCCTTAAATGGACAGTCCCAATGTATATAGTATGGTGACGGAACAGATCCCTGCATGTATAATAGTGAATTACATAGTTAATTATTTTAATGCTACTTGTGCTTTATGTTTTAAATTGAGAATCCTGCTGGGATAGAATCCCTAGCTTATAATTGGATGTGACAATATGCCGTTGCGATTTTAACTTGGTGGTTGGTACGCCAGGCAGTGTTGATATCCTTTATACCAGTATCTTGAAAAATTGAGTTATTAGCGAAATTATACATGTGGTTTGTGCACCAAATTTTTTCTCACTGTAAATTGTTTCCTGCACATGCACGCAGTTGCTTACAGTAATAGTTGCTAAACCGTATTATGCTACAAAAGTAGTGGTACTCCAGATAGTGGAGGGAAGAATAGAGAGGAAGAAGATACTGGCACTTTGGTACATGATTTGGATAATTTTTTTTTCATTGTTTGCACTAAATATTAAATTTTCTATTTTTACACCACAAACTGTTGTTTTCATGTAAAGATAGTAAAATAACAGATATTTTAAGACCACATTGTTTCATCCAAAACAGGGTAAGACAAGCTAAGTAGTGTTCAGTATATTGTGGATTCATTTATTTGTGTGGGTACCAATTTTCGTGGATTAAGGAAAACTTACATGTTCGTGAATATTTAATTTTGTGGTTTTGCAGAAGTCTGCATACAAGCCTAAAGGAAACTTGTTATTCGTTGAACATTTAATTTCGTGGTTCACCTGTACCCACGAAATTCACGAAAACTGGTATCCAACGAATAATAATGAATCCACAGTATGTGGTATAAAAATTGAAAATTGAATATTCAGTGCAAACAATGAAAAGAAATATTTCTATTCCATGACAATATTACCTAACAGTTCTAATAGGGGTCCTTTCTCGTCGTGATCAAGCAATAATAATAAAGATTTTGACCTGCATGATTTTGTTCGAGGCGTCATTATGTATCTGTATCTGTATTTTAAAGGAATTTGGAGCACTTCTTTTCAGAATTGTTTAAAGGTCATAATTATATTTACAGGACTATATTTACAGTGGACTAGGATATGCAAAAATAAAAAGAATACACCCCAGTGTATGTTGGCTACATTCGTTGACCTTTTTACTTGCTAGCCGGTAAGGCCTTCAATAGTTCATTTCTTTGGACATGTAAGGCATAGCAGAGTTTCCTGGTGATATTCTCTACTTTAAAGCAATTGTCAGTACATTTGCATCTACAGTCACAAGTGCATAAAAATCTACTTGGATCTAAGATAAGCTGTTTATCTTTTACTAAGCTGGTTAGGTTAAAGCATTTAGCACAGTTTTAAAGCTATGTAGAAAGCTGTCTAACTCATGCAGGTATGGTATACGGGTATCATGCAGAGATTTATATTCTAGAAGAAAGTGTTCAACAGCTCAAAATCCATCAAAGAGCATGCCTATAAAATATTAGTAAGACCGCAAATGGAATACGCCACGACAGTATGGGACCCGTACCAGCAAAACCACATAGATAAAATTGAAAAGGTACAAAGAAGAGCTGCACGATATGTAACCAGCAGACATAGAAATAGATCAAGTGTCAGCAACATGATAAATGAATTAGGATGGAAAAGCTTACATACAAGACGAAAAGAAGCACGACTCATCATGTGTTACAAAATAACAAACGACCTTGTAGCCATAGACAAGAATAAATATCTACAAAAACCAACAAGAAGCTCAAACCGGACAGGACAACATACTTACCTATTACAGCCAGCCACCAAAGACTGTAGGAAATGGTCCTTCTTCATAAACACCGTCAAGGATTGGAACAAACTGCCACCAGATACCGCCACAGCAAAGTCTCTTGAGATATTCAAGTCTCAAGTCACCAAAACCACAAACTAAATCAACAGAACAATTTGTTTTTATCCTGTTTTTAACCTGTTTTTAATCATGCGCAACTTGCCAGAATATTCATCATGTTGAATGTGGGCAGTATTTGGAAGAAGAAGAAGAAGAACAGTTTCCGAGTTTTCATTGCAGAGAAGACAAGTTTCATTATGTTTGAAAATTTCCTGATACACCGTCACGCCTCTAATTTACTCGCCAATATAACATCTGCGCATGTGTGTTACTGTGTCCGCCATCATTGTTGAAATTGACAACCTATTTTTATTTTCATTTTATTTTTTCTCCAGTTTTCTTATTTAAAATGAATCGAGGTCAAGAAATATATAGAAAATCTGATCTTGAAGGTATTTATGATTATGAGAAAAGAAAATTGTACTTGCGAAAGTACACACGGAGAAAATACATACAATAAATCGATATTTGCTGAATTGAAACTTCAGTGAGACCACAACTGCCACAAGCAAAGCTTCCACATTAGTTTCCCGTTTAACAAGCATGGGAACTTAGAGAGGCATATGTGGTATGATTGCTAATGAGACAACTTTAAACCAGGGACCAAAGTGCGAGGATGTAAACAACTATAAAGTATAAGGTTTTTACCACAGAAGCTGTTTTTTTCTGTTAATAGTAATACACCCCGCTATCCTATATAAAAAAAACAATACACCTTATCGCTATTTAGTCCAATCCGAGAAAGACAGTTATTTAGACAACTTCCTCTTGAGGTCAAGGGGAACAAAACAAAGGTCATCAGCATTGAGCTGAGGGAGGAATAAGTTTGGAAAGTGGACATTTAAAAATTTTTGGTAGTTTAAGAAGCAATTTTTAAAAGACAAATTATGTCATTGAAAATGCTTTGTTTGATGTGTTAACAAAGGTTTAAACATGTCTCTATGAAAAGTTTTATGCACAATACATTGTTTGAACAAGGCCCCAGATAGCTTCAACTGTTTGAAAAGTTGTGTAATTTTAGAACTTATCCTGACGAAGAATAAATAGCGATAAGGTGTATTGCTATTTTATATGAGATAGCAAAAGCCATAGACTGTAAAAACCTCATTTAACTCCCAAAATGAGCCCCAGTGTATTTTATTTAGGATTATAGCCACCACGGTTGAAGGTAAAGCGTCATCTGACTCACTATATAAATGAGCCACTGCAGTTTTTAACAGGCTTCAAACCCATGCTACACTCAATTAATTTCTTTTATTCATTATTGGTTTGTAAGTTGGAATGCCAAATAAAACAGCATAGAGCATGATTTGTCTTCCAAAATTACCACTGTCCCTACCAATGTTTTGAACCTAGGACTCCTGGCACAGTAAGCTACACTCTTCCAACTAAGCTTAAAGAGTACTCCACAATCTCAGCTATTAAATCTTATCACTAATTTTCCACCATTACTGGATATCACAGAGGTTGTGTAAAATTTTGACGCCACTTTCAACACTATTGTGCTATTTCGTGGTAGTTAGTTTTTATTGATGGAGGAAGCCGGAGAGAACCACCGACCTTCGGTAGGAAAACTGACAATCCTAGTCAATTAAGATTGGAGTCTAGTGCACCTGACCCGTGCGGGATTCGAACTCACAACCTCAGTATTGACTGGCTAGTGGTATAGTAGTTCAACTAGTTAGACCACTTGGCCACTGAGGCCCCCACAAGTGAAAAAGTCCGATGCTACAAACAGTCAGAGGTAATACTTATACAAGTGTCTTTTATTTACTAGAACAGGTAAATTATTTTGAAGGTAGAGATATATCCCTTAGACGTTCAGATTTTTTTTACTTATATAAGTTAAAAAGTATTATTTTTTTCTTTTCTTGAATTTCTTTTGACTGCAATTGCTCTGCTGGAGTGTTTAATTGTGTGTCATTAATAGTTGTGTTTAACTATTCATAAAAGTATAATTTCATGGACAATGAAAATCTCATTTGTCTGTTATCTTCAGAATACTTCTCATTTACAAGCCTCCAGGGAGCAATTTTTGGAAGCCTAGCTTGCACAGTTCGATAGACTTCTTAGTTTAGTTCTTTCGATAAAAGATTGAACTCTGTTTAAGAAATAATATTGTTAAGACATGTTTTGACCTCCAAAAACTTGAGAATTTGAGGGGTTGTATAAAAAAAAAATTTCTGGAGAAGATTAAGGGGAGATTATTCAAACCTTGAAAATAAAATAAAAATCTTAGAAATTTACGTAAACAAGTAAATATCACTTACATCTTCAATTCAATAGTAATTGACTTGTGTAAGTATTACCCCTGACTGACAAAGGAAAAGTGATTGTTGTTTAATGTCAAAAGTTCAGATGTTGCAAATTCTTGGGTCAAGTGTTGCACATTCCCAAATAGCATTAAGGTCTATTGACAGTGGTTATACATCTTCCATGCCAAGGGAAGCAACCCTAATTTAAAATCAACCACACACACACAAGTTGATAAATACATTCAGTGTCATGCATCATTTACTGAAGGTAAAACAAGAAAAATTAAACCTATACTCTACTGTATCTGATGCAGGATTTTCCAAAGCTGAAACACACAAATACAATGTATGGTTTCCAGGGTTCCATAATCAGGGCAGAATCATTACATAAGGATGTTTATGATCCAGTGGTGGCTATGGCATAAATAATTTGTATAAAGCATGTAAAGCTTTATATTTCAGAACGTAAATGACCTAGATACTTCATATCTTGTATATAGATTCTTTATGTTACAAAGTTGATGTCTGACTTTAATATATGTCCATTTTTCTTGTAGTCATTTCCATAGTTCATTGGTCAACTTGAAGATTTCAATAGATATATAGATATATCCAATTCTAAGATTTTAGTAGCAATTTGTCAACTATATTCGATGGATGATATAATTGTAAGGTCTACATGTCTGTCTGGCAGGGTTTATCTAACCTTTATCTCATTTTCATGGTTTTATTGGTAAATGTCAAGTTTTCATGGTTATGACTGTTTTTTCAGATACTGTAAGCAATCTATAGGTCATCTATATTTGGTTTATGGAATGATTGTAAGGTATACATCTCCTTATTTTAGATGTCCATCTGGCAGGGTTCACATGACCTTGGCTTGACCTTATTTTCAAGGTTCATTTGTAAGTTTGTGTGGTTAGGTACGTTTCTCAGTACATTGTTGATGTTGTTTAAGGTTTTATGATACTTGCAGTAGAAGCTTTATCTTAAAGACTTTCAGAATAAATTTCATCAAGATCAGTGAAGCAGGTGAGACATTTCAGCATGTGCACTCTTGTTTAAATTTTTGTTGATGAATGATGATTGCATCTTAAAATCTTAAAGCTGTCTTCCGTTGATTTCTAATAACATAAGATCATTATTCATGGTAAAGAGGCTTTCATTAAAATGATTGTGTTTATTGTTTATAAAATTATACATGAAGTCCTGACATTGATGATAATCAAGGTAATGATATTTTTCAGAAACTTCTTCATCAAAGGCTAACAAATTAGCTGGAGCACCAAAGACATTAAGACATGTAAGTACATGTACATATACTTTAAAATTCAAATTTCAGCCATTTTAACATTTATCATGTTTTATGCTCCAAAAAGTGTTTTTAGTCAAGACCAGAAATTTGTATTGAAATTATCACTCCAGTTACCTGCAGTCCACCAGAATTTATTTTTGATGATAAGTTAATTGTGATTGGTCATTCATATAACTATCAACACTACCAGCTTCCTATCAGTTTAAAATGATTTAGCCATTAGATGTCAAGCATCACAATTGTGTGAGGGAAATTTTCACCTTTTTTGAACTTTGAACTTGGAGTAAATAATCTGATTATTGCGAACCAAATGAAAGTTTTCCACAGAGTCATCTCCTCTTGGTCAAGGTATTTTAACTTTTGTCAGTTCACTTGTCACATTAAATAAATACAATAGCAATTGTTCTCTGTGTAGTTTATTCACTGGGACCTTTAAATTTCTTCTAAGAGAAATCCATCATTCATTGATTAATTTACCTGCTGCAGATTAAAGCGCTTTAGCTGAAAGTTCAAACTGTATTTACATCTTTAACAACATATTTGATCATAAATATTTTTTTCATTTTACAGACCTTACTGTCATCAAATCCAGATTCTGAAGAAGGCAGGATATCAGCTGCTATAGAAATACAAAGAAACTGGAGAGGTTATAACAGTCGGTATGTAGATATGCAGAATTATTTTCATATGACTTCATCTTTTACATGTTAATATGCATTCATATTTTTAAAGTTCAGGCTTCCACAAATAAGATGAACTGCACATAAGATAAACCATTAAGTACCATGCATTTTAAAGCTCTTTGATGATCAGAAACCTGAGGAAAATTTTTGCAAACTATTGGACCTAAAACTTGGTAAAGATATTCTGTAAGAACATAGTTGTAACATCTTTAACTTTTTTCAAATCATTTAAAAAGATTACAATTTATCAGTGTAATTGTACAAGTCCAACCTGATTATAGTGACAGGTTAAGCTCAAATGCTTTTAGATGTATGCAAAATGTATAAGTAATTGAAAGACAGCTGAAATTTTTTCAATGAAAGTAACATTCTGTTTGATTGCAGGTCTCATATATATGAATCAATTAACCCTAAGGTCAGCAAAACAGCTGTTTACAGTGACAGTCGACACCATATTGCAAGAGAACAAGAATTTGATGGAATAACAGATGAAGAGGTCAGATACTTCACATTCAATTGTGGCATGACAATTGGATACATATAACCAAAAAATACTGGGTTCTTGTATATTTTTGAGGAAATGACATACTGTGTATTCATTATTTTTTCATTTGAATACCAATTATCGTGGATTTTGTGGGTATAGGTAAACCAATAATCTAAATGTTCAAGGAAGAACATATTTTCTATTGACATATATGCAGGCTTTGGAATAACCATGAAATCAGATATCCTCAATGCAATTTGCACTCAATCCATGAAAATTGGAACCCATGAAATTAAATTAATCCACAGTAACATTCATAATTAGCTATCAGTTGGTAATTGTCTCTTTATACTCTTATAAAAGCAATAAAAATGACAATCATTAAAAGGCATGTTTTATGATTTTTTTTTGGTGACTTTGATAGAATGATTACAAAATTATAAAAGTTCTATGACTAGTCAATCTTTAACTTGTAAGATCTAAAAACATTTATTTAGTAATGAATATGCATGAGATATGTGCCACTGGACATTCAGTAAACTGCAATCATTTAATCATATAACATTTATCAATAATGGAAACTGTTTGTTTCAAAAACAATATAAAAAACATATTACATTGTAACTTTATTCTCAATATACTGTCTTGGTGTTCTTGTTGTAGCATGCTAGCCTTAAGGCCATGGGTTCTATCCTTGGTTGGGTCAATTAAAGACCTGAAAATTGGTATTTGCCTCTTCAAAACTATATGCCATCAGCTTTTAAGAGTGTGAGCAAAGACTGGTTAGTACGGAGTTGGAATAATAGGTTTAGGTAGGGTGGTATGTCTTCCTGCACATGTTGTAAACTGGCACATTAAGAATTTGGCTGTGTGTGTCAGTTTACTGCAGAGCAGGTTTCATATTGATATCACATCAACTTGTTATTTTGTTTTCGTTATAAATATTAACCCTCCACTGGATTCTAAACAGCCATCCCTCATATACTTTCAATGAAAGTTGATTTTGTAGTTGTTATATATTTTTGTATGTTTAGGGTGAAGTGATAGGTCCTCCTAAAGAAGATAGATTAAGGCAGTATTACAATGACTATCTGGTTGAAATGCAAGAATCAGATGACCCAGGGCCAGTTATGTCGTAAGTAAAAACACATGGTATATAGCACTTCATTTTATAAATTTGGACCTTCAAAGCCAGATTTTTTGTCAGAAATATTTCTAACATATGGTAACATAACTGAAGTAGAAAAGAATGGCACAACCGGCACATCAATAAAATAAAGACTTTATTTTTCTAAAACTTGACCTTTAGCCTTTTATGTTGCTGAATTTTTATCATAGTACTGTCATGATAAACAACAATGTCATATTGATCACACCCTAACAGATAAACGGAATATTTAATATAAAAAAACACCTTGGTTCTGTATGACTTAATTGCTGTTGAATTTATAATGATTTCTGTTTTACCATTTAAAACAACATTTTTTATTCTTTATTTACTTTGCAGATATGAAGAATTCTGTGCCCTTTACATACAGAACTGGTGGAAAAAACACAGAGAAAAGCATCAGGATAAATCTCCTGTACAGCAAATACAGTACGTGCCTCCTAAACCTCAACCAGTACAAATACCAGTCCAAATATCACGACCTCGTCGACCTTTAACTGAAAGATTAGCAGCAACAATTATACAGAAAAGTTGGAGAAGACATATTGTAATTATCTCATATTTTAAAACATTTAACAAAACTTTTGTCTTGCCTGTGTGTGAATGACTCAGAATAAGAGACATAGAGATGCTAATTTGTCTCTGGGTTTTGTGTAAACTATTTGCATAAAGCTTTATATTTAAGAAGGTAGAAGACGTGGATACTTCATATCTGTTAAACAGATGCCTTATGGTCGGTAGTTTCTGTGTGGTATATGTCCATGATCTCATTTTCATGGTTACACAACTGCTAAAAAATGTATAATTTTTTTCGTTACCGTACATGATTTTTTTCAATTAATATCAGAGTAAAATGACAACTATATTTAGTCCATAAAAACATTTCATAGTATACATATCAATCAAACAGGGTTTACCTGACCTCAACACCATTTCATTGATCAATAATCAGTGCTAAGCATTGATATTAGGTTTGTTTATCATATGCTATAAGCATTAAATCAACAGTATTTGGGGCATATATTGTAAGCCTAAGGTGTACATGTCAGTCTGGCAGGGTTCATCTGACCTTGACCTCATTTTCATGGTTTATTGGTCATTGTTGTGATATGGTCTGTTTCACAGATGTTATAAGCAATAGTTCAACCCTCTTTGGTGTATAGAATGATTGTTGGGTGTTATTGCCTGATTGGCAGAGTTCAATGGAAGATTTAAAGTGTACACGAGAAAGATCTTGAAAATCTTATAATGGTTATTTAACGAAAGTTAAATCCCTTTTCTTATAATAATATTTTTAATGATGAAGACAGCAGTGGTTTAATATATGTATTTATTTTCCAGGATATACAAGTATATAGATACTACAGAGATTTAATCAACTTTAAGGCTAGAGGAAACCCTGCCTTAATGCTAAGATGTATAAATCCTAATGAAGCCAAACTATTAGATGGTGCCTCTGGTGTACATGTTAAATTTAGATTGGCTGGGGTAAGTAAAACAAAATGTGGAAGTAATCACATGGATATATATACTAGTATTAAAATGTTGTCTAGTCCTTGCTGTAAGGTGTTCGCTTTTTAGTATGTTGAGTAAAATCTCAGAGCAAGTATAAAAAAAAATAAATCTTTTTTCTCTGTATTTAATGAAATTTTTATCTCATGTACATCTATTCCTTATCCTGACATCTGAATTTCTTTGACAATGCTATGATCAAAATCAAAGATACCAACTTGAAAGCAGACTATAGTTATATTATATTATTGTCCACAATAATTAGACTATATTTTAAATGATTCCTAGGGTGGTTTAGTAAAGAAATGGGAAAATATAACAATTTTACTTATCTTAACTGGAAAATTAGCACAATGATTACCTTAGGAACGGAGAAAAAAAAATCATGTCAATAATTGTTTATGTACAACTATGATATAAATGGGGAGATGGTAATATGCACTTTTTATTTTAACCCCCACCCCATGAGAAAGATTATCATTTTATTACTTTACAATGATTTTCAAAAAATGTTCTCTATCCATCAAACTTTGGTGATCCCTTGTTCAATTATTTCTTAAAAAGCCCTCTACAAAAATCATCTGTCTAATTGATTTGTTTGTTGCATAAATTTAAGTGCTCTTGAAATAAAGGGCTTTTGGAAACCACAAAATTATGATACCCAACAGAGTATGTCATGTTTGATAGAATAGGTGAAAAAACAGTATCTGGAAGTGCTATAATTGTTTTTCCTGTTTATTGTTTATAAAAAGAACGATTCTGTGTTTGTTTAGGCATTACCTTTTAAAATGTGAGAGAAATCTGAAAGTTTATATTATTGATGCTTGGTTTTATGTAGATCAAAGCAAAGTGATACAAAAAAAATTGTTGTTAAATACTTTTGTTATAAAACAAACTTTAATCAAAATATAATTATATCTTACTTCAATATCTTAAAGTTTCTCTAACATGAGTTTATTTTATTTCTTTTTGTGTAGGAGAGATTTCCACCAAATATATACTATAAGATTTTTACACACAGACCTATTCAAGACATGTGTGCAAATAGTCCGAAAAATTACACAGTGTCAACAGTAAAACTACAAATGGCAAAAGATGTCCACAGTAAAGTAAGAGGTGTTCCAGAAGCTCCAGGTATGATATTAGGAGAGATAATTATAAGATAGTCAAGAATCATTGTCCTGAAAATCATTAACTAGTGAAATTGAAAAAAATTCATACATTTTATTAAAACTAGGTTGATACCAATAGATGACTTTTTATGATTTTGTTCTTAAATGAAAGACATTCTTCTATGTTTACCGTAAAAAAGGTGAGTAAATAACCAGAAAGACAATATTGTATCATCTGTATGGAAAGTAACCCCTTGGTCTTTCCATGGCAATAGTTCAAGACTAATGATGTTCAAAAGGTTCTTACATTCTTATAAAAAAATAAGCGTAGAACTTAAATTTGATGGGAAATCTTTTAATTATTTACATTATGAAGTTAACTTTTAAAAAAAAATTCAAATTAGGGTTTTATCCAGATTCGCTGTTCACTGAACATGATAATGCGAGAGTGACATGAAATATTCTCGTTTTATATGAGAAAATGACTTTCATTTAGTTTTTTGCATTATATATGAACAGATAAAAATGAATGGTACAAACGTGTAGACAACAATGGCTGGAGACTTGTATCAGATCGTCTTATTCATCATTTAATGGCTGACCCTGTTACTTGGGAAACATCAAATAAGAAATATGAATTTAATCATGATAAGGTTAGATAGTTCTTTTATATGTCAATTGATATACATATTTAGCTCACCTTGCCTGAAGATCCATCATTAGCTTTTTTCATTAGAGTACTTCTGTCACAATTATTATATTTTTTATTTAAATCTTCTCTGATACCTTTCACCACTTTCAATCAGCATTTGGAACTAAATATGTCTGTTTATTCTCAGGTTGTTTATGTTTAAAAATGAAATCTAATGAAGCCTTTATAAACCACTCCAATTTTGTGATTTTGATTTTCAGGATAAGTCTGTTCCTCAGTAACTATGAATGACATGTCAATATATTGATTGTAGATTGCTTTTTTTTAAAGTATGATTGGATATGTTTGTCAATATTTTTAGCTTCAAAGAATACAAGATGTTTCAAAGTTAAAGAAACAGAGAAAAATAGATTGGATGCAAAAAATGTAAGTAATATGTAGAATGAAAACATAAACTTTGGCTTTCTAAAATGTTATCTTATGTCCTCCCATGAAAGTTGAAGGTGCATATAATGTAACTCTTTGCTTTCTTTACAAAATAATGCACATACATCCTATAATTTGCTTGGCTTCTTGATAGAGATCCTCTTAATTGAGGTAATTATGACACAGAATATGGACCTTAGGGACTACAGTAAAAGTGATATAGTACCCCATTTTTAAAAAGGAACAAGCTTTTTGTATGTTTCAGCTTTTTGTATGTTTCATTTTTACTTATAGTTATATTTGTCGTAGTGACATGGTTATTGATACTGCTTAAACTTTCTGTAAGATTTTCAAATAAGATTGATATCAATAGTGGTGCTGTCAGTCAATTGAATATCAAGAATTTCGTCATAACATCAGAAAATATAGGAAGTATAGTACCATTAAGAGATTGCTATCAGGGTTCTCGTTAAGACTCATATACGCGTCCTGGACACATGAAAATTGAGCTGGACGCATCATTTTTGAAACCCTTGAGTCCATGGGAGGCGTCCTCGTTGTAACCCCTGAGTCCTAATCACATCGTTTTGCCTAGAAGATTCGTGATCGTCAACTATGTTTTGATAGGAAACTAAACCTGGAAGTCGAAGTTGAAAAATTATGTAATGTGTAGATAAATATTTTTGTTGACTGATAACTATTTTTAAAAATTAAACGTATTTCATCCTAAAATATAATAATTCTGTTCAAACTGATTAATAAATATGTAATAGTTACCGATTTTTTAAAATTTTACGAGTATTTGAAAAGCTTGAATATTTACATGTGTTGAACATCACGTACTTATCATTGAAACAAAGAAAGTCAAATTTTTTGAGAACTTGAAACGAAATGATATAATATTTCATAACTGTTGCTACTATCATAAAATAAATCATTGTATATTTCAAATTTTACGGATAAGAATAATTTTACTGGTCTTCAAATGCTTTAACATTTTTCTCGTATTGTGCATGTTGAACATCGCGATTGTAAACAAAGGTGGAAAAGGTTTTGAAACTGAAACAAATCCGATTAAAAAACGATTTATGGTTACGGTGTTCATAGATATAAGAAGATGTGGTATGAGTGCCCATGAGATAACTCTCCATCCATGTCAAAATTTATAAAAGTAAACCATTATAGGTCAAAGTACGGTCTTCAACACGGAGCCTTGGCTCACACCGAACAGCAAGCTATAAAGGGCCCCAAAAATTACTAGTGTAAAACCATTCAAACTGGAAAACCAACGGTCTAATCTATATAAAAAACGAGAAACGAGAAACACTTATGAACCACATCAACAAACGACAACTACTGAACATCAGATTCCTGAATTAGGACAGGTGCAAACAATTGCAGCGGGTTTAAACGTTTTAATGGTACCAAACCTTCACCCTTTTCTGAAACAATAGTGTAACATCACAACATAGAAAGACGCACTATAAAATATCAATTGAAATGGCTTAACTCAATCAAAAGACATATTAACACCAGTGAACATACACTGAACAAATAAATTTGATCTATGATACAATGTAAATACAAAATAAATAAACTAAGGGAAGAATAATTAAAGTAACATGTTATACTGCTGTGAAATGTTAAACAATTTAAGAAAAACAATATGCTTGAACAAAAATATCAGCCATTTGCAATTACTTTAAACACAGGTAAATGAAAATTCACTTTAGATTTGCTTGTTTTTATTAAAGATTATAATAATTATCATGATGGAAACATCAAAGAGATTATTAACTCAATGATTAAATATAATTAAAATTTATTAATAATAATTAATATGAACTGTGACAAGTCTGTGTTCATGCAATCCCAATTTCTTATAAATACTGGCTTGACCAACAAAATGACATCAGTATCACAATGTCAGAGTAAGTCAAAGTTAAAGTCCTTCTTCAAAAGGAAACCTGATGTCATTGAATCATCAGTACCAAGTAAAAGACCAAGAGTCAATGACCCACTACACCAAGAATTGATAGACATAGAAAGATCTTCAGAAACAACAACTTCTGTTACTTCAGTCACTACACCAACTAAACAAAAAAGGAGAGGAAATAGCAGTCTATATATGTTGTAATGAACAATAACTATTAAGAGATCATAACTTTTATTGATATAATAAAAACTACCAATCCAACACGCTTCGTTTTAGTTTTATTGCATCATATTTCATCATATTAAGACACAAAAAAATCCGGTTAAAAATTACATGCATCCTAGACTCATCAAAATCTATTGGGACTCACCATTTCTAAAAGTGATGAGTCCCAGGACTCACCATGAAAAATTCCTAGTAAGAACCCTGGCTATAAAATTGTTACTATTAAATTGTTTTAGAAGGAAGAGAATGACTGATTGTCCAATGTCCATTAACTGGCTTTTATCCCAATTTTACAATATTTTGTAAAGGAAATGAATAACTTGGTTTGACAAACTGTATCCCTGTCTTTACAAAGAAAGTGGAATGAGCATGGTGTGTGCAGGATCTTGCCATTATACATGCACAATTCTTTTTTGTAAAATAGGTGATTAAGCAATGGAAATAAATAAAAACTATCAAAACATGGCCTTACCTTAAGGTTTTTACTTGTATAGACAAGGATACAGTTTGTCCTGTTTAGTTGTTGTTTCCTTCTGCAAAAAAGCAAAAAAGTTTAAAATTGAAGAAAGTCAGTAATTGGCAAATGGACTATTAGGATCTTATTTTCAGTTTGGTTTTTATCCCTGTCTTTACAAAGAAAGTGGAATGAGCATGGTGTGTGCAGGATCTTGCCATTATACATGCACAATTCTTTTTTTGTAAAATAGGTGATTAAGCAATGGAAATAAATAAAAACTATCAAAACATGGCCATACCTTAAGGTTTTTACTTGTATAGACAAGGATACAGTTTGTCCTGTTTAGTTGTTGTTTCCTTCTGCAAAAAAGCAAAAAAGTTTAAAATTGAAGAAAGTCAGTAATTGGCAAATGGACTATTAGGATCTTATTTTCAGTTTGGTTTGTCAGAATATGACCATTTGCTTTAAAATATAATCAATTCCACAAATTTAGGTACAAAGATGGTATGTTAAAAGCCAAGTCAGATGATCTGGAAACAATTAACCTAATAGAAGGTGCAGCTGCTGGTATGGTTGCTACAGTAGAAAAGATGGGCCCAGATGCTTTAGAGGACTGGGAAGTTGATGAGTTACTTGACTGGACCACTAGTCTTAATTTTGATGAGTAAGTTAAATTGACTGTTCAAATTATGATGCTTATTTGGTCATGTCAAATCAAATATTATCAGTTAAAAGTTGTCATACTATTTCTAATACATAAAATAAGTCTAGAAAGAAATAACAAACTGGTAAACTAAGCTGTAGTTTTCTATACTTTTTATCAATATAGAAAAGTTGTAATATAATAAAAACTTTTTTTCCAGTTATTTGAGTTCATGGAAGGAAGTAGCTACGAGTGCAAATTCAGAGAAATTCATAGGTTTGTATTCTATTTTTAATTTACATTTTTGATGCAATCTTAGTTTAAGTTCTTTTAATTTTCAGAAGACCAAAAGGTCAGAGCAGAAACAGTTTACATTTTGCTCTCAAGAATACTTGTTTCAATTTGACATTGCCTGTATACCATAATTTCCTTACTTGTAAATGCTCTAGGGGGTCTTATTTGGATGATGTATAAATATTTATCGCATAAGTGCCTCAATTAAACAAATGATGTTCCAAAATAACATGACTTAATTAAGTTTTGACAAACAAGTGGATAGTTGTCTCATTGGCAATCATCAATCATACCACATCTTATTTTTATAGTAAATAAAATTTAATGATTATTTTTAATTTAATCTTATTTTATTGAAATCTGTAATTTTGTTAGTAAAGATTGAAAAAAACATCAAGTATGTGTTCCTTATCTCAGCCTTGTCTACATTAGGAAATAACATTGAAATACAGATTTTTATTTTTTGCTAGTATTACACATACAAAATTAATCACTTTAAAAATTTACTAAACATGACTGAAATACCATTTTATATGCTTACAGTTTAGATGAGTTTTCAAACATAATTATCTAATATAACATACAGTTATCAAAAATATAGAGATTATGTAGTATAAGTGGTGAAATATAAAAATTTATATCAATGTATAATAAATATAGATATATATACAATATTTAATGAGTTGATTGCAGTATAATTTCAACTTATGATCATACTTTGTAGTATCATTTTGATATCAAACATCTAAACTAAGACCATCAATAGCATGACTAATAATTCAACGAAGGAATGACACTGTGCATGTGACCTTTTGAACTATCACATAAATGATCCAGCTCAAAGTGTACAAAGCAGGGTTCATATGATATTTTTATCACATTTATATGTTCTCTTCCTAATATGCATTTACTATTTGCCACTGGAAATTAAAGACCAATCCATCTTTATCTTTTAGATGCTAACAAAAAATGCATCATAACCAAATACAGGGTAATTGAATTTAATTTTGTAAATTATCTCAAAATAAAATCAGAAATAAGAGAATACAACATATCCATGGCTACATTTTAGGCAAGTGGGAGACAGGAGTTGCAGAAGGTTTGTTTACATTCATTGATTCAAAAGCTGGGTATAAGGGGAGTTTTTTCATTAAATATATCAATAACTTCATTAAACCAGTTTTTATAGTGCTTTATTGGCAAGTACATGTTCCTTAATTGAAGTAAGTCATTTTAAAAAGATAAATTCATTGAATATGATTTGAATTTTTAGAGATTTTTATAAAGAACAGTGGCAGATACACAGAGGGTTTTTCGATTGAAAACATTATAAAATATGATATAAATTCAAATTTTCTGTCCATCATTACCCCTTGTCAAGTTTGTTACACTGATTAAAATGTTTTTAGTAATGACTTTTTACCTATGTACAAAAAAAAATGTATAACATTTGTCAAAAAAATTCTACTCTTTCTGAGGAAAAAACATTTGTTGAAACTTTCATTTAAGAATTTCATCTGTGCCTTAATGAATTATAACAATAAAAACTGGTACTTCATGAGAGTTCTCATATTGATAGATATTTTTTGCTATACATATCATTTCATTTAACAATGCTAAGTTTTGGTATATATACTCATAATATTGTTTGTGTTTTTGTTTTTATCTCAAATGTAGGTATATGGTTTTACAAACTATAATCCAATTTCAATCTGAATTAACCATTTTGTATGTTTTGCCTATTTTGTCTGCTTAAGGAATCAAATGATTAGTCACTAGCTTATTAAGCTAGTCAGATCCTTCCTTGTTTATAATGAATCCTGTGAATGTGTATCCGATTCCAGATACATCCTAAGATCTGACCTCAACACAAAAAAACATTAAATCTATATCAGGAGCAAAATTTTGATATTTCTTTATATATTTTATTAACTTTTCTGTATATTACTGATCAAAGGACTTAGTACTTTTTTTGCAGTAAACATATGTACAGTCTGGAATAAATTTTTTCAGACATCAATGAATAACTTTGTTAAACCTTCATACAGAAACTTCTTCCAGATCAAGAAATAGCATCTGAAAAAAAAAGTTCAAATTTCTTCTCATTTTTCTTTATTTTACTGATAAATGGACTTACTTTTTGGCAGTTTACTTTACACTTTTACACTGACAGCAGCAATCTCAGGGGAGACATAGGGTTTAGAAAGCAGAACCCTTTACAAACTTTTATGATGAAAGTAGCTACACACTTGTGCCCTTAACGGTAGCATCTACACACATCATGTGCACCTTCAATTGTCTATTTTTTAAATACTCCCTTTCCTGACTCCTATGAGAAATGCATTTAGAACAGATTTTTACTTCTACTTTTTAAAGTATTGTCTTTTAAGATATGATATAAAATAAAGACTATGAAACATCAAGTTTAAATTCATTTTTTTTCTCATATTAACATAAGCTTAACCCTTGATACTATGATTATAGGAATCAGAAAACAGATTGTAACTGAAGGTAATATGTAAGCCTGTCTGTAGGCAATTTCCCAAATCCTTGGTATGGTCTCAATTTCCCTGATGCCAGAGTGAGTTGTTGTGCTAATAATTTATTATGGATACACATTTTTTATGACTATAAAAATTCTAGGAAGCTGTCATGAACATTTATAAATAAAAGTTAACAAATAGGAAGTTTCATTTATTTGAAAAAGCTAATTTTTATTTGTCTGGTTGTTTTAACCATAAAAAAAAAATTAAAAAAAAAAGGAACTATAATTTGAAACTAATCTAATAAAGCTGAATATGCATTATTTCTGAACTTGCCATTATTCATTGGTATTGAACATAAACAAATTTTAAGATGTTAAAATCCTATAAATTTGATTATTAGTTTTGCATATGTAAAGATATAGTTTTTGAAAATTTGTATGCTATAAATATTATTAATAGTACAATATGATCTATTCATTACACCCCATCAGTATAATTATATTTTTATAGACACCACCATGAACTCCAAATTGACCTGACCCTATCTGTTTTTTTCCCTTTTTTCATGGTACTAAAAAATATATGATATCTGATCATAAATGGCCAATTTATGCCTTTTGTTTACATGTTATCTTTCATTTATACAACTGGATTTTAAGGAACTAACAAATCAATCTATTCCAGAAATAATGAATATTTCTTTGAAAAAAGTACTATTCAACAGGTTTTCTTTCATCAGCTCACTTTTTGCCACTTTCTTACAGTTTCATTTTCTATTGTAAATGTTACCTTAAGTTTCACTATGCCTAAATAGTTACCTGACCCTTTGCAATGGCATTTTCTAGCCCAAGGCATGGGATAGCTTTGTAAAAAGGAGAAGATAATCATTAGTCTATAAAATTTTAGAGCATTTTAAATACTCTTTGCTCTAAAAAATAATTTCAAACTTATGATTTTCTCATTGGTCATTTTTAGGAGGAATTATGTGTGATCCTTTACTTCATTTATCTACTAATGCATTTTTTATTTGATTTGATTTTATCTTTTGTATATGTTTGTGTGGAGCTGGTATTTAACTTTTACAGTATATCTGATTTTATTTCAGCCTATTAAAAATTTATATTCATGTATTGGTAAATATAAGCTTTATTCACAGGAAAGAAACAAATCATTAGGCATTTGCTCGTTAAGCTTTCCATGTGATCACAGAATTTAAACGTTTTATTTATCTTCACCTGCATTCACTTTGCTTACTTAAGATATATAAGTATTCACAGTCATATTTAACATGCCTTACTTTTAAACTGAAGATATCTACTCAGTAACATATTGTATATATTTAATCAACAACATCTGTCTTTGGAATTGTGTGCTTATTGAGTTATGAAATAGTGTCGAAATATAAACTGAAAAGATTGGAGCCCATAACAGGCAGTTTTAATTAGAGCAGGCATACTTCCATTTTTTTGGCTTTTTTTTTGTTATCGAGTAGGTCAGGAAAATGAGTATATTAGCCTACCTTATTCAATTATTATGCAATCATCATGACATGACTGTCCCATCTAGACTGAATTATTCAAAAACATTTTGTTGTGAAACTGAGGCCAGGCAAGTTGAATCCAACATAACTTTTTTCCACAAAACATTCTTTTCCATTCTACCTAAGCTAACCTTTCTTATTGAATAAATTTTTAAATAAATTAAAGTCTTCTTATTATTCGTAAGAGAACAACTAGAATATTTTTAAAGATTAGTTTAAAAACTGTTATTTTCACATTTGGCTATTGGGTTTTAGGTCATCAAATGTCCCATTTAGTAGATGACTGCCTGGTAAGCAATACAGGTTTTAATCAGACTTATGTGTGAAATCTACAGATTTTTTCTCTCATCACTTATAGGCAACCATGTTTAACAATGACACAAATAAGAAAACTCATGTGTTAAAGTATATATATAAGTATAATTAAGTAATATGCTGTTACATAATATTACAGGACATAGTTAAGTAAATTATAATATGAAATTATTAGCATTAAAATTTTATACATTATGACACAAAACTTCTCTTCATTTTAAGATGAAATATTTTAAAGTAGAAGCTAGCACATATTTATATATTAAGTGTTTTCACTGCCTAGCAAAGATTGTCACACTTTATACTTTTCACTTTTCTCTCATTCTAAAGGTATCTTCTGATTTTATTGTATTTAAAGTCTTGAAACTTCACCTATTTTACTTTTTTAATTTTATAAAACCAGATTGTTGTGAATGTTTAAAGCTATTTTTTCACAGTCTGCCTGATTATGGAAGAAAAATATTTAGTCTTCTGACTTTTTGGGAATTGTAGGTTTATACAGTTTTGGGCATGTATTCTTCAAGAGTTCATAAAAATAAGTTACTAATCATTAGGTGGCATTGGTTCTCTCTTTTGAATTGTTTCATATTTTGTCATACCTGCATGGGGCTTTCATAGCCTACTATATGGTATGGGTTTCACTCATTGTTGACCTGTAGTTGTTTATATCTTTGTCCTATGGTCCACAGTTTGTTGTCCCATTGGCAATCATGCGTTGTATCCTTATTTTTATACTAAATGAATTTATGTAGCTGCATGTTTTAAGGTACAGTGAAAATACTTTATTTATTTATGGATGGAAATGTTTTGTGGTAGTTAAATTCCTTGCTTAATTGGTTTCCAGATTGTGTTTAGCATAGAATGAATAACTTGAAATTGAGTGGTTTTTCAAACAAAATAAATAATTATCATGGTATTTGTGTCATTTCAGTTGTGTATAAAAAAAAATCAGTGGTTTAACTAAAGTTTTACATTTTTTGTTGAACCAATTTATCCTGTGGTTTCAGTTAGGACTTGATGTAACTTAGTTAACATTTTTTAATCTATATTTCAGAGGACAAGATGAGAATATTTACAAGTGCAGATCCATATGAGTTCTCCTTATCTCCTGGACAATCAAGGTACCAGTCTACACAACAGTCCAGGAATACTCCAGCATCAAGTGTATCAGGCAGGATACCAGTCAACTAAATGTTCTATCAGAGTGAAAGTTGTTAACTGTGATAAGTCAGTTCCCTGAACTTGTCATATGCATTAAAATTATGCATTTCTAATCATGTCAAATAAATTAAGTATGGTATTGTGTCATTGTCTATCACCATATTGATGCTATACATATCATGACACTTCAGCTGTATAATGATGTTGTGTTTATGAAGGTAAACATTCAATACATTCAATTTAATTGAAATAATGTAAAAAACTAAGCCTAGTCCATGAATGTTTTGTTGATAGTGATTCGTGATTAGTTCATATTGAATATATCAAGTGCTTTAACCAAATTGATTGTTTGCCCTTGCAGAACTTTGGTTAAGTAAAGTCTGCTTGAACTTTTATTTTAGTAAAAGAAAGTTTTTTTTGTATATTCTTTCTTCCAAGTTTTTCACTGACAATTTTATTTATAATACTGTGGATTTTTCATATTCACATTTTTTATACTAGTGCACTGATAATTAGGGACTTCATTTTTGGTACTTCTTAATAAACAAATTGTCAATTTTTTAAAATTAATGATTAAGAATATTTGTCATTACATTGAACCAGATTTAAAGTTACAAGGCGGAATTTTTTCACAAATCAGTTTGTAGAAATTCAAACTGCTACTTTGAAAGTGTTTTGTCCCCTTGTACTATGAGAGTACATGGACTTGAATAAGCATAGTTAAAGAACGGGATTCCTAGTTTGAAAAAAAACAATTTTATTTCTCTGACTTTCAGGATTGTAAATTTCCTATATAACATAATTTTACATGTACAGAGAAATATTTAGAAATTTAGAGGAATGAAATCCTTGTTTTTAATCTTAATATATTTTATTACAACTGAAATAGATAATAAAAATGTTCATCAATTTTCATATACATGCTTGATTCTATTTACATATCAAGAGCTGTTATATAATTGTCAGGTTAAACTTGGGGTTATCTAAGGTAAAGTCACCTTACACATGTCTTGTTTCTACATGTATAACAATATTGATTTCAATGTATAGTATTGTTTAGACATTTCTAGATAAAATTCAGATTGAATTGACCAATTGTCAGTAAATTTGTAAACTAATGTATGATTTACAATTTACTATATTGAAGAAAGAAATTCCTTACAAATATTTGGTATTTTTTTAAAATGCTGTTTTATATAATTTGAAAGTATTGTGATTTAATGTATTTTCATATATATGTATGTTGTATAATATTTTTGTTGATTGATATATTTTTATACTTGTTTTCTTCAACACCAAACATTGTTAAAATAAAAAAAATTATAAAGACAAACCTGCTTGTGTTCATGATGCCAGATTTCTCAGATAAATATTTTGTCAATTGGAGAAAATTTAGAAAGTGCATGAAGGAGATGGTTAATTTTGAGGCTTGATTCTACCTTCAAATTCACCAAAATTAAAAATTAAAAAGATGTTTGATACAATTATCAATCACAGTTTTAAAGGCTTTAGAATAAAAGCTTTTGAGAAATTTTAATATATGTTTAGGCTTGATGGCACAATTTCACTATGAACTTATGAAAGAGATGAAAATTGGAACTTTGTCAGACTTTCAGCAAAAAAATAAGGAAAGGAGTAGATTCATGAAAGGTCAAAATTGGCCCTAAGATTCTGATCTTTTTTTATTCTGCCCAAATACTTGAAAGTTTACAGAGTATAATTGTGATATAACTAGTAATAGGAAATAATCTCTTTTGGCATGTGGCATAATAAATTGTGAAGTTATGGTCCCTAAATGATGCATTATTTATGTTGTAATGTCAGATTTTGTTCATGTTTTGTCTCTAAGGTCGCTGTATGCAGTATGCGATACATAGGGATTACAATCCGAGGTCAGCGGTGTAAACTATTTGTATAAAGCTTTATATTTCAGAATCTAGATGACCTGGATGCTTCATACCTTGTATGCAGATACCTTTTGTTATGAAGTTTCTGTCTGTCATATGTCCATTGTCTTTGACATCATTTTCATGGTTCAGTGACTGCTTAAAAAAAATGTTGTAATTGTGAAAAGTGAAATACTCTCTTATTATGAGTAAAAGGATAACTACATTTGGTATATGGGTTCTTTGCAAGGTCTATATGTCTGTCAGTAAGGGTTCACCTGACCTTGACCGTAATTTCATGGATCAGTGATCAAGGTTAAAGTTATGTGGTCAAGTCTGCATCTCAGATACTATAAGCAGTAGGTCAAATATATTTGGTGTATGGAACGCTTGAGTGGTGTACATGTCCAACTGGCATGTTTCATTTGACATTGACCTCAATTTAATGGTTCATTGGACACAGTTTAGTTTTTGTCGAGCCTGCAACTTTTGTCGCAGAAAGCTTGACATAGGAATAGTGATCCGGTGGCGGCTACGTTAGCTAACTTCTTAAAAGCTTTATATTTTAAAAGGTGAAAGACCTGGATGCTTCATACTTTGTATATAGATGCCTTATGTTACGAAGTTTCCATCTGTCACATGTCCATTGTCCTTGACCTCATTTTCATGGTTCAGTGACTACTTGAAAAAAAAAGTTAAGATTTTTTGTAATGTTAATTTCTCTCTTATTATGAGTAATAGGATAACTATATTTGGTATGTGCATACCTTGCAAGGTCCTCATGCCCGTCAGACAGTTTTCACTTGACCTTGACCTCGTTTCATGGATCAGTGAACAAGGTTAAGTTTTGGTGGTCAAGTCCATATCTCAGATACTAGAAGCAATAGGTCTAGCATATTCGGTGTATGGAAGGACTGTAAGGTGTACATGTCCAACTGGCAGGTGTCATCTGAACTTCGACTTCATTTTCATGGTTCAGTGGTTATAGTTAAGTTTTTGTGTTTTGGTCTGTTTTTCTTATACTGTATGCAATAGGTCTACTATATTTGGTGTATGGAATGATTGTAAGATGTACATGTCTAGCTGGCATGTGTCTTCTGACCTTGACCTCATTTTCATGGTTCAGTGGTCAAAGTTAAGTTTTTGAGTTTTGGTCTTTTTTTCTAATACTATATGCAATAGGTCATCTATATTTGGTGTATGGAAATATTTTATGATGTACATGTCAGTCTTGCAGGTTTTATTTGACCTTGACCTCATTTTCACGGTTCATTGCTCAGTGTTAAGTTTTTGTGTTTTGGTCTGTTTTTCTAATACTATAAGCAATAGGTCAACTATATTTGTTGTATGGAAGGATTGCAAGCTGTACATGTCTGCCTGGCATGGTTCATCTGACCTTGACCTCATTTTCATGGTTCATTGGTCAATGTTTAGTTTTCTTGGTTAAGTCTGTATCTTAGAAACTATAAACAATAGGTCAACAATATTTAGTGTATTGAATGATTGTAAGGTGTACATGTATTTCTTGTTTGGTTTATATGACCTTGACCTCATTTTCTTGGATCATGTCAAGTGTATGCTTATATTTAGGACTATCAACATAATATCAATGATTAGTAAAGAAGGCGAGACATTTCAGCGTGTGCACTCTTGTTGTTGTTTGGTCTATTTTGCAGATACTATAAACAATAGGCCAATTATATTTGGTGTATGGAATAATTCTAAGGTGTACATGTCTGTCTGGCAGGTTTCATTTGACCATGACCTCATTTTCATGGTTAATTGGTCAATGATAGATTCTAGTGGATATGACAGTTTATCAGTTACTATAAGTAATAGGTCAACTCTATTTGGTGTATGGAATGATTGTTTTAAAGGTGTACATGGCTGTTTGGCAGGGTTCATATTACCTTGAGCTCATTTTCATGGTTCATTGGTCAATTTTAAGATTTTGTGGTTTGATCTGTTTCTTAGGTACTATAAGTGATAGGACCACTATATTTGGTGTATGGAATAATTGTAAGGTGTACATCATCTGTCTGGCATGGTTCATCTCACTGTGATTCCATTTACATGAATCATTGATATCTGTTAAGTTTATGTTATACTTGTAGTAAAATTTTCATATTACAGACTTTCAACATAAATTCAATCATAAGTAAAGCAGGCGAGACATTTCAGCGTGTGCAATTTTTTTTTTTTTTTATAAATTATAACAATTTTTAGCATGGATAACTCCTGATCCAAAATTGTTGAGTCTAGGGATTCAATATAAACCTTGACACATTTTGGTTACAAAACAGTTTGGATTATTGTAGGTTGAGGCAAAGGTTTCTCTGAAGCATTTATGTAAAAAAAAAAGCACAAAATCTTCATGTTTTGACATAATCCTCAAAATGACTTTTGAGCCTATAATATACTGATACTCCAAGTGATTTATTTTACTTTGCATTAAGGTTTTTGAAATAGATTCATTTAAAAACTTAATTGTGGTTCTTTTGATTTTTTTTTAATTCATGGCCATATTTTGGTAAAGGTGAACCTTGTCATTTATCAGGCTTATTCAGTTGAAAGTAATAGCATTGTTTAATTTATCTTATTGAGCAAAGCAAAAAGATAGTCAAAATGTACTTCCTTAGCGGGTATCTTTTGGGGCAAGAGTATTCCTTTATAATGATATTAGCTCACCTGCCCCTTATGGGCTAATTGAGCTCTTGGTATCACTTAGCCGTCGTTGTTGTCAAATTAAAAATTCTACTATGAAACCACATGACCAATTTCAACCAACCTTGAACTCAATGATAAGGGTATTTAGTATTTATTTAGTAAATTGTCTTGTTATAAATTAGGCTGTTAGTTTTCTCAATTGAATTGTTTCATATTTTTCAATGTTGGGTCCTTTAATAGCGGACTATACGGTATATGGGTTTTTCTCATTGTAGAAGGCCATATGGTTGCCTATAATTGCTTAGGTTCACTTTATTTGAATTTTAGTGGATAATTGTTTCATTGGCAATCATACCACATCTCCTAATTTTTATATTTACACCTGACAAGCATTCCAAGTATAGTGGTCCTTTTTGTTTATAATACCTGGAAAACAGACTAAACCACAAAACGTAACATTGACCAATGAACCATGAAAATGAGGTCAAGATCATATGAACCCTGCAAGACAGACATGTACACCATCAATCATTCCATACACCAAATATAATTGACCTATTGGTTATAGTATATCTGATAAACAGACAAAACCATGTAAACATAACCTTGACCAATGAACCATGCAAATGAGGTCAAGGTCAAATGAAATCTGCCAGTCTGACATGTACACCTTACAACCATTCCACACACCAAATATAGTTGCCTTATTGCTTGGTATCTGGGATACGGACGACCATTTAAACTTAACCTTTATCACTGATTCATAAATTAGGTCAAGGTCGGTGAACCCTGTCTAACAGATATGTAGACCTTGCAAGGAAGCCAGATACCAAATATACTTATCATATTACTAATAATAAGTGAGTATTTCACATGACAAAAAACTATAGAAAATTTTTCCAAAGCCATCACTGAACCATGAAAGAGGTCGACAATTGACATATGACAGAAGGAAACTTCGTAACGTAAGGTATCTGCATACAACTATAAACATCCAGGTCTTCTACCTTTTGAAAGATACAGTGAGCTTTTTACAAAGGGGGCATAAAAATCGTCATAAAAGGACAATAACTCCATAATTAAGGAGTTGTCTGATGATTTTGGTTTGGTGAGTTAAAATGGACAGTAATTACTTGGAACAAATACTGCAGATTCAATGTATTTTATTTGATAATATTCTTATTTGAATATATTAACAAACACGTCAAACAGTAGTGCATGAATCACTCAGCCAGAAAAATATTCAATTTTGATATTAACTTGAAATATACATATTTTCAAGTGTAATTAAGTGAAATTACATTCAATAAATTATTATTTTCCCTTGGTATCACATCACTAAACAAGAGGCTCTCAAGAGCCTGAATCGCTCACCTATATTTCAGAGAAGATTTTTAAATGTTAGCAAACTTGATGAAAAAATTGTGTAAAATTGTCTTTAAAGGGCAATAACATCTTAAGGGGTCAATTGACAATTTTGGTCATATTAACTTTTTTGTAGATCTTACTTTGCTGAACATTATTGCTGCTTACAGTTTATATATATCTATAATAATATTCAAAATAATAACAAAAAACTGCAAAATTTTGTTAAAACTACCAATTCGGTGGCAGCAACCCAACAATGGGTTGTTCGATTTGTCTGAAAATTTCAGAGCTGATAGATCTTGACCAATTGAACAATTTTAACATGTCAGATTTGCTCTAAAAGCTTTAGTTTTTGAGATATAAGCCAAAAACTGCATTTGACCCCTATGTTCTATTTTTAGCCGTGGCGGCCATGATTGTCGATGGATCAAAACTTCGGATACAATTTATAAACTAGATACCCTAAGGAACATTTAATTAAAGTTTGAAGGTATTTGGCCCAGTAGTTTCAGAGGAGAAGATTTTGAAATAGTTTATGAGGACAGACGACGGACGCCAAGTGATGGCATAAGCTCACATGGGGCCCTTTGGGCCCCGGTGAGATAAAAAGTTTCCAATCCCACCTTTCGCAAAACAAATAGCCCTCTTCAAAGATATAGTCATAATTGTGAAGACAAAATGACATGATTTATAGCTCCCAATTTGCTTGATTAGCAATTCCACTGTTTACAATTTCTGTAAATTCATTCTTTTCTTGTTTCTCGTTATAAAGGGTATAACTCAAGAACTGTAAAAGTGACACTACCCAAATTTGTACTTGATCTGAGTTTTGTGGTAATAAGCATTGTGCATAAGTTTCATAACATTTGGTTGAGGCCAACTAAAGTTAGAGAACAGAAACAAATATTTCAGGAATTTTTCCATTTGTAAAGGGGCATAACTCTAGAACGATAAAAGTGATGCCACCAAAATTCAAACTTGATCTGTGTTTTGTGGTAATAAGCATTGTGTATAAGTTTCATAACATTTGGTTGAGGCAAACTAAAGTTAGAGAACGGAAACCAATTTTGGGACGCACGGACCGACGGACGTACGTAGACATACAAGGGTAAAACTTAATGCCCCCTCCGGTACGGCGGGGGCATAAAAATTCATATCATTAAAGGGCAATAACATTAAATTTACAGCATTGGTCATGTTATTAGTACTATAGTAGTTGTACCTCTTGCCTTGGTGATCATTTTTGGTGCTTGCAGTTTTCATCTATCTATTTTAGTGATCTGCAGTAGCTATTGATATATCAATGATTACATGCAAGTGATTATTTATCTACAATCTATAATCATTAGAAATATACCTTGTTTGTTTTCTCCAATTGTACAAATTCTTCTTGGTCTTAACCAAGAATTGCAACATCACATTGTAAATCTTTTCTGCTAATGCATTTTGTATTTGAAAATCAACTATAAAATGAAAACTATAAAATATTGGCTAAATAATATCCGGATTCATATCAGGATAAAATTGATTATGTTGAAATTTTAAGTTTTCTGCCGATAATTTGCTGAGGAACATAATTACTAGAACAAAATTGCTACCAGGTTTTTCCGGTACCTGTTTGAGATATTACATTTGTCTCACCTTAAACAATCTTCCTTATAATACTAAGAAACAATAATAAAAAAAAATAATAACTTATATAATAATTTTAAGTATTAATGTTGTTTTTGTGACTTTTTTACAGATATCTCAATAACTCTGATAAGGCAAATTAAAAAAAAATTCTGTTTCCTCTTGTGATATATATGAGTTCTGAAGTATTATAAGAAATAAGAAAATGATACTCAGTCTCTATAAATCTTTTTTTTTTATGTTAATGTGAATTTTACTAAGTTAAGCTTTATTATCATAAGACTTAAAATGGTAAAATAATAATTAAATCCATTTTGTCCCAATGGTAAATCTTCATTTCTTACATTTAATTTCAAATAAAGACTGACTGATTGTTCCTTTGACAAAAATCAAAATGCTAGATTCTTTTAACCATCCCAATAATTCTTAAGCTGTTACAAAGAAAAAAAAAGAGTCAAAATAACCTCTTTCAACCTCTGTTTTCTTCCCTTTCACATCAACTTTGCTTTTAGGACTTTGGTTTGAAGACCAATAGCTTATTGCCTAGGATTTCATTTTATTATACTTATTTCTGCTATCACATAGTTCTACTAATCTTGTAATTGCAAATTATTTTCCTGTCAAATTTTATAATACAGTAGGCAAAAATCTAAGCCAAAGGTTTTAATCATCTAATTGTCTGACTAGCAAATTTCTTGTAAATGAAGAAAATAATTAATAATGATATTTAAAATACAAATATATAAAGCTGCAAGCTGCCTTAAAATCTATAAACTAAGACAATAAAAAACAACAACTTAATACTATAGTAATGTAATTTGTAAAATTGTACTGCATTAATGAAAACTAGAGGCTCTCAAGAGCCTGTGTCGCTCACCTGATTCTACTTTGGTTTTGGAAATCATGTAAAATTAGATTAAAATCATAACAGATACCCTAATAATGATTGAGGCCAAATTTGGTTTAATATTGGCCCCGTAATTTAATCAAAAGCAGAAGACTTTTGTAAAGTTTACAGAAATTACCAATAAATTCATTGAAATTGTAGAAAATGACTTCATAAGGACAATTTATGCCATGTTTGGTTTCATTCCATTCAGTGCTCCTCTAGAAGAAGCATTTGTATGTATTTCCGGTAGGGTCTTATGTTAAACTAAGTCCCCTGCTGGCGGCCATCTTGGATGATGGTTCGGCTACAAAGTAACAACACTTGGTCAGCACCTTTTAGGAACATTCATGCCATGTTTGGTTTCATTCTATTCAGTGGTACTCTAGAAGAAAACATTTGTATGTATTTCCCATAGGGTCCTGTGTTAAACTTACTCCCCCTGCTGGCAGCCATCTTGGATGACTAATCAGCTACAAAGTAACAACACTTGGTCAGCACCTCAAAAGAAACATTCATACCATGTTTGGTTTCAATCCATTAAGTAGTTTTCTAGAAGAAGACATTTGTATATATTTCCCATAGGGTCCTTTGTTAAACTAGGTCCCCCGTTGGCAGCCATCTTGGTTGATGGATTTGCTATAAAGTAACAACACTTGGTCAGCACCTCATAAGGAGCATTCATGCCATGTTTGGTTTCATCCCATTCAGTGGTTCTCTAAAAGAAAACATTTGTATGTATTGTCCATAGGGTCCTATGTTAAACTAAGTCCCCCTCTGGCAGCCATCTTGGATGATGGATCGGCTTCAAAGTAACAACACTTGGTCAGCACCTCATAAGGAGCATTCATGCCATGTTTTATTTCATTCCATTCAGTGGTTCTCTAAAAGAAGACTTTTGTATGTATTGTCCATAGGGTCCTATGTTAAACAAAGTCCCCCGCTGGTGGCCATCTTGGATGATGGATCGGCTACAAAGTAACAACACCTGGTCAGCACCTCATAAGGAACATTCATGCCATGTTTGGTTTCATTCCAATCAGTGATTCTCTAGATGAAGTTCATAATGAAAAAGTTAACGACGACGACGGACACCAAGTGATGAGAAAAGTGATGAGCTAAAAATATGATGATAATTGTGTAAAAATATATGCAATATACAAGCTTAATATTATACAATCAATGCTTTTGGATTTTTTGTCATCAAATAAAAGTTTATTGGCTAAAATACATTTTTAAAATCCACACAGGTGCTTAAAATAAAGACTTTACAATACTAAAAAATTCAACAGCGCTTAATGAAAGTCAATACAGTTTATATTGTATCTTCATTTCAGGGATTTTGAGATATGTTATATGATAAAGGGATTTCTTTGAAAATCACAAAATAAAGCATATTTTGTTGTGCTTATTTTCAAATGAGACTCAAATTTTAAAAATTTTGTAAGTTTGTTGAATTTTTTAGACAACCTTATAACAAAATTTGGGTATTTTTGGCAATAAAATAGCCCATTAAATTAGTTTTACAATAAAGCTTTGATAATTCTGCAAAACAAAAAAAACTGACTGAATTTATACAAAAAGGGTTAACTCGAAAACTTTAATGAACTTTTTCTTTATAACAGGTTCTTGTTCTCTCATTTTTCAAGCATTTTCAATATGAGTTGGATTTTCATTGAAAATTAATAAGATAGTAAATTCATGTATATATGAGAGTTTCCTTATTTTTTTAGGAAACTATTTAAAATGTTCTTGATAAAGTATTTCCCTATTTTTTGTCAAATTTTCAAATTCTAAGTCCTGAGATAAGATTTCATTATCATGAAACATCTTAAACAAAATAAGTAAAAACAGGACATTGAACAAAAAAAAGACTGTCAACAGTTATCTCCCTTGAAACTATTAATACTCCTTAAAAAACCTTATATTAGTCATATTCACTGCATAGTAATGAATGAAACAACATAATAATATGTTAATTTCAAACTCTAGGTTCTAACAATGCAGAAATATTGTTCAATGATCCTTCTTTTTCGTCATTTATTGGTCACACCATGTGATTGTAATGTTAAGAAAACATTATAAACCTTCTACATTGCATCATTTTATAATTTATAATTACCAAAATCATTACACATGATACTTAAAGCAAAACATCTTGATATCAGGTTTAACAAAAGTTTTGAAAAAGAAAAACAAACAATTCCCAGTCATACCTCTTGAAAATTAGTCTTTATAATGGTTTACTTTTACAAATTGTGACTTGGATGGAGAGTTGTCTCATTGGCACCCATACCACATCTTCTTATATCTATGTATGTTATTTGCATTCCTCTGGCATACAAAATTTTAATGCAGAGAAATATATTCCTTTTAAGGTCCTACTTGGCAGTGGTTCCGCAGACATCTGCACAGTAATAACACTGAAACACTTTGTAAAAATAGTATTATTTACACCCTTTTCAGTCTCTATAATGTAATAAATTCCCTTCTTAATTAACCCAATCGGTAAGTTATGTTAGAATTATATAATATTTATCACAGCAAGCACATAATACACTATGCCATTAACTTATTTCCAGCAAGCAAAATCTTTGTGGTATAATGACAAAGTTGTCCTTTCCAAAAACATGATAATTACGAGGATCAAAGTTTACCTTACTTTGAAGAATATAAGGCATAGAATGAATGTGATTGTAAAAGAGATCCTTTTGTCGCTTAATTATAGTGTCCCTCTGTAAGTAAAAAAAAAATACTCCATTTCTATAGGGATCTTTCACTTATTATGTGTGGTATTATAAGTTTGGTTCAGCCTTTGCAATCCTATGAAAGGTTCTAATCTTTAAAAAAAAATACTTTCCTGTCAAACTTTTGATCTCTTTTTAATAACCTTGCCCTTAGACAAAGTGACCTCAAAATCAACAAGTTAAACTGTGAGCAATTGATGTTAAAGAGTGATGAGTGAAAACACATCAAACACTATATAGCATGTTCTCATAACGGTTGATTCCAAATTTCAGAAAGATTTTTTTTAGTTCCTGAGAAAAATGCATCAAAAATTTTATGCATGGCCAGTATGCGTAAGAATATACAAGTATTGGGTAAATAGGAAGTGGTTGAGCAATGAATTTGATAATTTATCATTATATGTGACCCTAAATCCAAGTAAAAATTAAGTCCAATATAAAGTATATTTGATTTATCTTCTGCTAACAGATGGTACGGTAAAAAGCAATTGAAGTATATGCCTGTAAGAAACATTGCATTAAAATTCATTAACTGGAACAATATGTAAGAACTAAAATGAAATATGTACAAATGGAACCAAATATAACAATTACCAGTATAAATTACATAAAAAATGACCAAACTTTTGCAGTCATACAAATGTAAAATCCATTATTGCACTCTGTCATATTTTCTGTCCTGTATGAATGCAAGTGGAGTGCCAGTTCTAGACAAATTTCAATGTAATCTAAAATACTTATGTGCCATAAAATTCCTTCCTGGCCATCATGAGTTTATGGGATTGTTCTTCAAGTTGTGCTTGTTTCCGTTCTAAATACTGGCGCTGGAAAAAGAAGTTGAAAAGCATAAAAGTTACATTATTTTGATTGAAGTATTCTCTAACCATAGGTAATCTTAAGCAGCCCACTTTTTGTGCATGCAGATAATCATTAAATTTCTGTGTGTCACAAATACATGAACTAGGTTTATTGTTTTATAGAACATCCAAATAAAATGATTTTTGAAGAAAAAAAAACATATTTACTGGCTAGGAGCAAGAAATCAGCATTGATAATAAATGTGAAACTACTGTGAAAGGGAAATAAAAATAATCAAACTCTAAAAGATTTGAAAAGTGTTCAGCCACAAAGTTAATGTTTAAGAAATGGCTCTCATACTTAGTCATCATGACTATTCCAAGAGTTAGTTATCAGTATAAATGAAATTCAAAGATTCATGCTAATTACAGCTGCATATTGTTTGCATGAAATATAAAGATGTTTAGAAGCAAAACATTTTTTTAGTTGTGTACATTTTTGGATAAGTTGACTTATACAGAAAAATACCTTTTGACAAAAGGATTAAACTTTGTATTTCTCAAACAATTTTTACAGTTTGTTCTTATGTTAAGCTGTTACACCACTGTTAAATGGAAAGGGAGGGTTGAGTGCTCACATATGCCTGTAAGGAGCCAGCAATTCAGTGGTTATTGTTGCTTACTGTTTGCATATATGTTTTTCATTTATTTATTTATCATAAATAAGGCCATTGTCCATTGGGTTTCTCATTGAATTGTAATACATTTTGTCATGTCTTGACTTTTATAGCTCATTTTATGGTATGGGCTTTGCCCTTGTTGACATTTATGCAGGAATAATTGTGGTCAAACAGGTGAAAATATTTTGTATTTTGTGATAGGCCCCCCCCCCCCCCCCCAAATATTACCAATTACTTTACACTATTTTTAAGATATAACTGCCACTGAATATTATAAATCTGAAGAATACATACCTTTTCTCTGCCAACTCCTGCTCCTTTCTTTTCCTTTTGGATTTTCTCAATACTCTTCTTTATATGATCTAGTCTAGCCATAAGTGACTCATGTGTTTCTAAACTATCCATTGGTTTCTTGCTAGGTTGTCTTGACATACTCATTTGTCTGGATGTAGAAGATGTGGATGCTGACTGAAAATTTGCAATAAATACTCGAGGCATTTCAGGTACCTTCGGAACCTCCTGTCTAACATCATAAGCTTTCAAACCTGCCCAACTAAAACCTACAACAAAGTAAACTCTCTTTTGCCAAAGTGATCGGACTCCAATGGGAAATGAAGTAGGGATGTTAAAAGCAACTTGTCCTCCTGTTCTAGTATCAACATTGCATGTAATTTCTTTACCATCATTGATAAGTGTACCTGGTAACCGTAGAAGTCTTTTGACAAAGTCTGCAGATTCCCATATTTTGTCACCTCGCACAAATTTTTTACCCCATGGATCAAGCAATTCTTCATAGTGCACTATGGCATTCAGTCCTTCACCTACTCCTAGGAAGAAATTGGTTGTTTCACGCTTCCTCACAGGTCTACTTTCTTTCTGTCTTGGATGATTTGCAAGAAAGGCAGCCTTCCACTTTCGAGAAACCTCATGGAGTTGCTCTGTTGTACAGAGGTTGTGATTAGTTTGTAATCGAGATTTGGTTGGCCAATTCAAAAGAACAAAATGCATATATGTTTCAAGATAGTTTCGTCGGTCTGATGATGAAACAACTCTATCATAGCATCTCCTTGAATAATGAACCATTTCTGCATATGATATGGCTGTTTGATCAATGTGAACAATTTTCATTGTAATGACAACATTAAACAAACTAACAATATCAAATGGCACCCAAAAATCTGATTTTACATTGTCTATTAGCATCAGAAGTATCACCTCTAAATTTGACTTATTATCAATGTGAATAAAGTCTGACAATGTTCTGCCACCTAATCTTCTCACTCTACGTCTTCTGAAATCTGCTTTTTCTACTTCAGTCAGATTTTCAGGAATAACATCGCTATCTTCTCCAAAGTAGCTATCCAAATTTTCTTTAAGAGTTGTTATCTCCTTCCTGCGTGGATTTCCATGCCCGAAAATAGAATAAAACATATCATCCTTTAGTTGTGTTGTTTTGTCTTCTATTGATTTAAGTGTCAATTCAGATCTACTTTCAAGGCTTTTCATAAACTGGACAGACTCCTCTTTTAAATTCAACAAATCCTTCGGAACGAAATCTTTATCTGTAAGGTATGCATGCAAACGACCTTTTGAGCTACCCAATGGACAAAAACGCAATACATCTAAAAATAAGACAATCATTCGGATTTCTCCAAAGTAACCTGCATCATTCCCTTTGACAAAGTGCTCATTTTCTGAAACTTCCTGTTCTTTTCGGAATTTCTGGAGTCCATTCTGTGTAATTTCTATAACCTCCTCTATGTCATCATCAAAAGCTTTTTTGCATTCCTGCAGAAAACAAATATATTTATCATATAGCTGATTCTTATACACTTGGCCATATGTGTCCCACAAGAATGAATTTTGAGGCTTCATGTCAGTTGCAATCTTTGCATACTTAGCTGCCATTTTCCAATTTTTACAGTGTATATACAACCTTGCAATCTGTTGGCATATCATTGGATCTTCTGTCATTTCAAATCCTTTGATAAGTATGCTTGCTGCAATTTCTTCATTTTCTTTATCTAGCAGGTTCATAATCAAAGGAGAGAACTTAACTTTACCAGCTGTATCTTCTTTTTCCTCTCTTTTCTTCATAATAGTTCTCACAATCTTTTTAACCTCATTACTTGACATGTTTGTTGATTTAAAAATTGGACATTCAAGGAACTCTTTCATTATTTCACTGGTGGTCTCCGGTGACTGGTTGAAGCATGAAAATATTTCTACAGCAAATAAAGGATTAACAATTGATAGTCCAACCAACTGACCTCCAAAACCAGCTCTTGTGTTACTGTTCAGCAATACCTGTAATGGTTGACTTAATGTTTGCTCCCAGGATTTATTGAGGCGTTTTCCTCGTCCCCCTGCAAGACCAAAGGTGAAAGTGACCCCTCTTTGTCTTGTTGTCATAATAGGATCAAAAGCACTGATTGGTACAGATTGAAAGTCAAGGTCAAATGTATTTAGCATGGACAGATATTTTAACATTTTTCTTTCATTTTCATTTGTGACTCCTTCAACTAAATCAGAAGCTGTTCGTCGTATGTAATCTTTGTTGAAGTTTTCCTTCAAGATATTGAATGAAACCAAGAATCTAGGGTCAGTGCCCTGTTTAGCCTCAAACTGTTTCTCCAGGTCTTTATTTCTGTTTCTGAACCAAGCCAATTCTTTAGGGGATAGTTCATGTTTCAGAGCAACACTAGTATCATCAACAGAATGAATTGTTGTTCTCCTTGTACAAAGAAGCAAAACACAAAACACTTTCATGTCACTGCTACGTCTTGCCATTATCCTTGCCCTATGTTGCAACAGTGCATACAATTCTCCCACTTTCTCTTCATCAGCATTTTCAATCAATACCAGTGGGGGTTTAGGGTCATCTGTCTCTTCATAGTTTCTCAAAACTGTAATTTGCTCAACTGTTTGATCTGTTATTTGCTTCACAATACAACAACGGTATGAAGACTTTAAATCCCAAAGTATATGCTTGGCTGTCGTTGTTGCTCCTGCTCCAGGTTGATGGTAAATATTTACTAATCCTATTTTATTGTCCTCATCAGCACGATTTCCTTTCAGGGCTTCTTCTAATTTTTCTTTTAATGGTCCATGTACATCCCTTTTCAAAACATGGTCTGGAAATACAAAATTCCACCAACTGACATTTTCTCCTCTATAAAACTTTTCTGCTTCTTCTCTTCGTATCTGTGCTAGTTTGAATCTATCTCTGATCAGTTCAGGATCATCACACTCGCATCTGCTTAAAATTTCAAGGTCTATTAATTCATTTTTTTTCTTGTCCCTTAAGTGGCAAAATGCACCTGTAGATGTTGGTATTTCACATCTCAAAGATCTTTTTGATCCTGTTAGTTCTTTGATGGTTTGGTTGACATGTTCCCATGGCATTCCTATGACAATTCTAGCCTTCAACTGTTCTTTCCCAATGGCATGTCTTTGATTAACAAGAACATCATGAAAATGATTAGCAATTTCCTCACTCTCTGCAAAGACAACCCATTGATCTTGAAAACTTAAAATAACTTCCTCAGCTGCCTCCAACAAAATACCATAATCCTTTGATAAAAGAAATATCAGAACAAGGGCTCTACCTTCAGGTATTTCATTGTTGTAAAAGCGAATAGCTTCTTTAAAACCTTTGCTCCTATTTTGCTTCCAGTCCATTATATTCATTGGCATTTTACTCATAGCTTCATATCCATTACAAAAGACCCAAGGTTTTAAAACTGATAGTGTTATGTCTTCAAGCAAATTACTGTGAGTTTCTTTTTTGAATTTATTCTCTTCACTATTTGGATCAAAGTTGTCTGTTGTAAGAGCTTTCAAAACCTGTTCTTTCTCGTTGTCAAAGAAGTTGTATAATCCTTTGTCTTCTGATGAATAATCAAAATCAAAAACAGCATTTGGATCAAGATCAATAAGAAATTCAAATTTATTCAAGCCATTCCCTGAACTGCTGTCAAGAGGACTTAAAAATAAGAGAGGATAGACAGCTGATGGCAACGACTCTTCTCCAGCTGCTAGCAAATCTAGAATCCTCTGCCTTAGATTTGGCTTTATTGTTGAAATCATTGGACTTTTTTCCTGGTTCTCCCTTGTATCTGAGATCAGTTTTTTGTATTTTGACATATAAGTGATACATCTGTCATCTGACACATTTTGAGGAGTAATTCCATTCTCTGCAAACAGATACAACACAGGTTTCCCATTATCTTTCGATTTAATAAAAAAAGATTCCTCTCCAACAAGAGTTGACTTTGGAACAACATCTACCTCAATTACTCTTAATCTGTGTGGATTCTTTTCTTTAGATAAAAGGTCAATAAACTGAGGCGGCCGCATACACTTCAGAACAATTGGAAGCTGTTCATCATAATATCTCTCTTCCATCTTTTTATATAAGATCCTTAAAAATTTATTTGCATCCACACTGATCCCATTTAGTTCACCCTCAATTTGAAAATCACACAATTTTGGGTCTACACCTACATGAACTGTGCCATTGGTTCTCTCATTCAGACAAGCAGCAACAAATTCTGCTATATCATCTGATATCTGCTCATAAGTTAATTCAGTCCCTTTCATAAATCTATGCACTGGGTCTACCAGGTTGCTTGGTCTATTGTTAAAAGATGTGAGAATTGCTCCCTTTTGGTAACGATATGTATGCACTACTTCCTTGTCAAACTTTCTAAATGTTTCTCTAAATTGACCATTTGCTTCCACATGTTCTATTTCTGGTGTCTCTTGTTCAGTACTAAAATTGCATTCAAGCTGCAAGGTTTCAGTAGTATTTGAGACCTGTGCCTCTTCTTCATTACAAATGTCATCCCGTATATATAAAAGAGATACTCTTTTCCCTTTTTTAAGATCAGGAAACATCGATTCCATGTATTCTAATTTAAGCCGACAGAAAACGCTTCCTGTAATTTCCTCATCAACAATATTATTTATAACTTGCTCTGGAATTCCATATTTTAAAAGTCGAGGTTTCAACAAATCCACCAATTCTGTTTCAGAAAGATCATTTAGGCTTTTCTTGTTTGTTACATTCTTTTGTGGTGGAGCAGCAGGTTTCTGTTCGTTAGGTGGAACAGAAGTAGGCAACAAGTTGCACTGATCTGAGAAAAAACATCAAACAAATTTGCTATAGATACGAGCTGCAAATCATAAAATGAAAAGCTGACATTTTTTAGACAAAACAAAACAAAAGTGAAAAGTAAAATAACAAAAACTCGGAGGAAAATTCTAATCGGAAAGTCCCGAATTAAATGGCAAATTCAAAAGCTCAAACACATCAAACGAATGGATAACAACTGTCATATTCCTGACTTGGTGCAGGCATTTTCTTATGTAGAAAATGGTGGATTAAACCTGGTTTTATAGCTAGCTAAACCTCTCACTTGTATGACAGTCGCCCAAAATTCCATTATATTGACAACGATGTGTGAAAGCATTCTTTAATTATATATGCTGTAAGTTCAGAAATTATTGCGAGCACTAATTATTGCAATTTTGACAAGACCAATCAAAAAGTTTTTAAAAACTAATCAAAATGTTCATAATGTAAGGAAATTAATGCATTATCTCAACTTATATAAAGTTGTTTCTTGTGTGTGCACATTCTTTTTGAATCCTGAATATACTTAAAAATTTGTGTAAAACCAGGAAAATTTTATAATATATACAAATTTCATCATTGTTAAAATTGTTTTTATTTCAAAAACACATTTTACCTTAGTAATGTTAATACAAATTTTTAACATTTTCGTTCGTACAAATTTTTGGGCCTTATTGTCCCTACTGTTTTGCCCAGTGGTTTCTGAGAAAAAAAATTTAAACAAGTTTTCAATTGATGGACAGCAACTACCACAGATGCCAAGTGATGGCAATAGCTCACATTGCATTTTAGGACAGGTAGTCTGAAATGAATAAGAGTTGAGATCTCAAACGAAAATGTGTGTCCTGTTTGCACTCATATTTTCAAAAAATTCTAACAAAACCATGAAATCTCAGTCCTAACCCTTATCTGAATCACTTTTTATATGTATTGATGGACTATATTCTATCATTGTCATTAATTCCCACTTTCTTACTGTACCAAAAAGGGTTTTGGTCTATGAATCATTCAATTAATACCTGTAATAGGTTCAAGGCCTTCTTCTTCTGTGGCAGGATATACTGTTCTTAAATGCTTGAAAGCCCATCTTGAAACAGGTTAAATGAAAATAACAATTGGACATGACATATGGCACTTATACTTTTGTAATACAGATTGATTTTGAGTATTTATTTTTATCAATTGTATTTATATACAAATTTGATCCTACTTATACTAATTTACTGTTTTGGACAGTGTTTATAGTATGACAGTATTGTGTACCTCTTTAAACATTGTAATTTTCATTTTGGATTTGTTATTTCCAAATTGCTATTTCTGTAGGAGGTGCTTTCTTTAATTTTTATATATGGAGATTTAAGATAAGAATCTATTTTGTCCATTTTATAAATTTTATTACTGAAATCTTCTACAGATTATATTGGAAACACATTCATTTTCCAGTAGGTGAATTAAAATTGGATAGAATACACAAATATTTTATACAGGAGCAAATTGCTCAGCCCATGTATAAAATACATTTACTTTCATAAAACATCATATTTTAATTCTTATCACTGCTTTTAACTTTTATCAAAAAGACTAATACAGGAATGCTTACCTGAAATTTCAGTCATATAGTAATTAACTTGAAAATGCATCAAATTTCCATTGGATTCTTAAGGGCCTCAAACAGCAGAGTTGCTGACACCTGCAAAATGTGTCATTTTCCTATATTTTTAAAGGCAACATGTAATCCATTTTTTATATATACAGCTTTTCTAGCAAGTTCAAGTGAACTTACTGGAAAAAAGGGCACAAATTTAGTTTTTCCTCAGTGTTAGTATGCCATTGTTATAATTGTTGCCATATCTTTAAAGGATACATTTTAGGCTTCCTCTTCTTTTTAAATGGAGTACATTTTGGGAAACACTTAGTAACAAGCGCTTGTAAATAATCAATAGCAATATTATATTTTTCTCCTTTCATGCTAAATTCAAACTTTACTTCTTCCTCTATGTTTCGTAAGATGACATACTGCTGGCTGTCATCATCCAGACAATATTTCTTCTTTAAAATATCAATGATTTGCAGATCAGTCTCATTTTTCACTGAAAGTAGATATAAAAATATATTCCTCAAATTAATCACTTGACAAACTCTAGTTCAACTTTCACCATTAAGAAAGTAAGTATAATATGGCCCATGGTTGATTTTACCTGTTAGAGAATTTTAAATAACACTGCTGACAACCTGCAGTGAAAAACAAACATGATACCAAATAATTCATAATTGTGAGAGTGATTAAAATGCAATATTCAATAACAATTACATTAGAAAGGGACATAACTGCCATAACAAATATTTAATAACCATAACAATTACTGAATAACACTGGTTTTCTTTACATGTCCCAGACATTGCTGATTTACAGTCGATTCATTATAATTCATTGGATACCAATTTTCATGGATTTCATGGGTACAGGTGAACCACGAAATAAAATGTTCAGCGAATAACAAATTTTCTAAAGGCTTGTATTCAGACTTCTGCGAAACAATGAAATTAAATATCCTTGAACATGTGATTTTGATTTTCCTTAATCCACGAAAATTGGTACCCACGAAAATGAATGAATCCACAGTAAACCTTTGATGTAAATTTCATATCAATCTTACAAGAAATGTTTAAAATGCAATTTTCCATATAAGTTATACAATTCCAAGGAACATAATTATTAAATCATTTAAAAAAAGTGACTGGCACTGATTTTCAAACTATTCCCCAGAGACATTAACAATTGATATAGATTTCATAAAAATCTGGCATGAAGTGTACACTTGAGAGTGCTAACAATGCAAATACCTATAGAATATACATTTTCAAGTAACATAACATCCGTAAATATAATTGTTCAGCGACTCTGACCGCGCTTATTTTATTTCGTCCCAGATATTGCTAATATACACCTTTGATACAAATTTTATAACTATCCTTAGGCTACATATATGTAGGCTTGAGAGCACTTACAATGCAATTTTCCATATTATTTACATTTTCAAGGGGCATAATTCCTTAAGACAGTTGATCTGCACTGATTTTCAAACAGGTTCAAGATATTGCTAATATCAACCTTTGATAAAGATATCATAAATAACTGGCACAAATAATACACTTTAGAGCACTTACAATGCAATTGCTTATAGAACTTATATTTCCAAGGGACATTACTCTGTAAATATAATTAATCAGGAATAATATTTGATCGCATCCCAGATATTGCTGATAAGAAACTTTGATAGAAATTTCTTTACAATCATGTTTTGAATGTAGGTTTGAGAGCACTAACAATGCAATATTTGCAATATAATTCATATTGAACCACATTGCTCAGGGGACAATAATTTGGTAGAAATGAAAAGTCCATAGAAACATTCTGATATTTTGAAGTTTTCCACTTTGGTCAGATTTTCTCGATTTATCATGGGTTTCAAGTATTACCCATTACTTGCTATTTACATTTATGTTCAATTTTCAGCAATAGCCACCATTTTGATTGGTTGGCAAGAAAAGGTAGCTCACATAGACAAAATTGTTGCATTGAGATAAAAGTAAGTCTGACATTCTCCTTACTTTTACCATTAATAAGACATAACTGTATTTGATTATCTCCCTTTCAGCATGACATTTAGGATCTAGGTAATATTTATCAATTATTAATGCACATCTATCCTCAGGTAGTCATTTAGAAGGTGCTGGTCTGACAAGGCACATGGAAAAAATGACAGACAGGTGACAAATGTACAGGGTGATTCATATACCATCACATAACTTTGTTTGCAGAAGGGGGTGCGGAGGATGGTAATAATATCATTTTTGTAAATTTGGTAAACAGTAACAGATGGAAGGATTTTGATAATGGAACAAGTACTTGTTTGTTGTAAGATGGACATCTCTCTGATAATCTGACAATTCCTAAAAGCAAAGCCTTTTTTGATAGTAAATATATGTCACCTTTTCTGATATAACTTTCATCAACTTCAGTGTTTTCCAGTTTTTCAGCAACAAAGACCATTTGCTCAGCCCTCAATGCCTTTATTAATGAAGACAGTCCATTTTCTTTTGTTTCAATTATTCGAAGTAATCTATAGGCTTTATCATCATTAGTAACTTCTTTTGCAACCCGCTCTGCATCATCAAATGATAAAACATGATTCTGAATAAGGTGTGGTGTAAGGCCTCTGGCATCAATATTGTCTCTAAGCAGTTTTTCATTACTATGTATTATATATTTATCCTTGGCATCCATGCCTTTTGAAAAATCTGTGAAAAAAAATTTAAGAAATCAACATTATTCACATTGCCAAAAACACACCTATTATAGACATAGCTTAATAATTTACGTTATTTTGGAGAATTTAGTGTTCATGAAAGATCTTTGATAGTCTATGTTTAATTTATTCACAACTTTTTTGAATTAGTGCATTGAGAACTTGACTGCATTGTAAAGGCCCTAGCTGTGTATCTTTGAATATAAAATAAGAAGATGTGTTATGATTGCCATTGAGACAACTTTCCATTAGAGACCTAATGACGTAGCAACTATTGGTCACTGTACAACCTTTGACAATGAGCAAAACCCATAACACATATATGTAAAGCAAAAATATTGTCCAATGAAAAAGTGTCCCCTGGTAAAATATATATTTCATGATTAACTATCATTATATTTTTCCCCATCTATGAAATAATGACAAGAGAAAGACAATTTTCCTATGAAATTTTGTCCATGTTAGACAATACTTTCATAGATTGATAGTGATGAAATTTTGTCTCTTTTAAGTTAATTTATCCAAAAATTTATTTGTCAATATTGAGTAGGGACTCTGTGGGAACGTCACATCAACAAACTCATATCTGCCATAATGGGTTATTTGTTTTATCAACATTGGTAATAAAATGCTTCGCTGAGCGCAGCTTGATACGACCGCAGAGGTCCAACCCTGAACAGTTGGGGCGAAAATGGACACAATATTCGCACTTGATACAGGTCTGAATTTGGAATGTAATTAAATATTTGACACATAATAGGTTTCTGACAGCGAATAACTGTAGTCAAAGAACTTAGAATTGGTTATATGATTTGAATTTAAATTCAATTTTTTGCTTTTGTGAAAAAAACTTTTTTGCGTATTGACCCCCCCCCCCCCCTAAAAAAAAAAAATATTTGAAGGAATTCTGAAATCTGTTATGAAAAAAAAATTGCCCCCCACAATTTCTTTTTTACCCCCCTTCCCCCCCCCCCCCCCCCCCTTTTCCAAAAAAAAAATTCTTTCCCTCAAGATATGGTCATAATCTCAATTCAAATTTCCAATGGAGTTTGCAACCATAATTACCAATTTAAAAACATCATTTTGTCTTAAATAGATAATTTAAAAGCAGTGTAAGGGAGGTAGTCCAACATTGTACAACATTGTACCATTTTGTTTTTGGATTACCTCCCTTACATTGCTTTTAAATTGTCCATTAACCAGGAAACCCTTGTTTTTTCCCCTTTTTGCCCCTAATTCCTAAACGGTTTGAGCCATAACCCCCCCCAAAAGCCTTTGTGGTATGGAAACTTGTGGTATAATTTCAGAGAGATCCATACACTTTAACACAAGTTATTGTCTGGAAGTTACAAAAATACATGGTTAGATTCAGCATATCAAAGAACCCCATATATTCAATTTTTGTTGAAATCAAACAAAGTTTAATTTTGGACCCCAACTTGGACCAACTTGAAAACTGGGCCCATAATCAAAAATCTAAACACATGTTAAGAATTCAGCATATCAAAGAACCCCATATGTTCAATTTTTGTTAAAATCAAACTAAGTTTAATTTTGGACCCTTTGGACCTTAATGTAGACCAATTTAAAAAAAGGGACCCAAAATTCAAAATACACGGTTAGATTTGGCATATCAAAGAACCCCAATAATTCAATTTTTGATGAAATAAAACAAAGTTTAATTTTGGACCCTTTTGACCTAAATATGAACCAATTTGATAGCGGGGCCCACAAATAAAAAATATAAATACATGGTTAGATTCAGCATATC